AAGAAATACATCGACAGACTCCACAACCACGAAAATAATTTAGCCTTAAGTCTATTAGACAATAGCTTAACAGTAAGAAGACTGAAAAGATAACACATTCTCGATATCCCGATAGATAAATCCAACAAACTGAAAATATGTTATATATAATAGCAGGGCTCATTGGAAAACTGCTATATCTGTTAATTGATAATTAATTATAAAATTTATTATTGTTTAAACAAACAGATTGTAAATATAAAAAAAGAGAAAAAAAACAACTTTTATTGGTATATTTATTTTTTCCAACCCCCAAGGGTCCGGCCACCAATCCCCACCCCTCATTCTGCACATGTTGCGGCAGGTCAGGTTCTAGCTGCGTGTTCTACACGCACTAATACTTGTAGCTGCGACGTTGGCAGAGGCCTGGGACTTCGCGACGCACATTCTGCGGTGACGTTTCGCTTCCTTCAAATTGACAATCTACTATACTATTTGGTTAGTGCACTAAGACTTCAAACTGACCTAAAACTGGCTGCCTAATCAGTATAGTGGATTGGGTCCCAGTGCGATTCTTGGTGCGAGACCCTTCGGCTGAGAGAGTTTGGCGTTGGCTCTCTTGAGCATTTAATGCAAAGCGACTCTCGCAAAAACAAAGTTTTCTTTTACTTTTTCAAGTCTGCTTCGTAATTTCTTGTGTGCGGTGACACATAAATGATGGCAATGCGTGTATCTATTCTCGACTTCATATGCGTTTTCATTTCTAGCGCTTGAAACGTTTGGCACTTTTGTGTTGCTGCTGAGCTCACATACCCTTCCTTCAAACTTGTGACTTTATGAAGAAGCTTGCCCCAATAAAAATAAATTGATCTTGCGTATCCTCTCTATGCTCATAAATTTCTTAAATACAGTTAGGACGAAAGGGATAAACAGTTCTTAACATCTAAATATGTACATATACAAATAATGAAACGGCAAGTGACTTGGCGTTAAAAATATTATTCATTAGAGTATTCATCATACACTGTGTGAATAAACGTAGAGTTATAATTGGAGACATGGCAGCTGTTTGCTTCACAGCTGATACTTCACAGTATGTAACCCGCATTATTCATAGTCTGCCTCAAAAAAGTTCCTTTCCTGGTATTGACTGTGTCTCCAAAGCCGGTGTGTCTTGCATTGAAGTCTCCTGCTATATTGTCTGCTTAAAAATGGTGAGTGGTATCAGGGGTTCAAAGTATGCAGATGAGATGACTAAATTTTGTCCGTCTCCACTAGTTTTAGCTATTACAATATCTTGATTGGTTTCTAAACAAATTATAGAGAAGTGATGTAGATGTAGATGACAGATGAAGAAAATATGTTAAATTTTATAAAAACCGAAATAAAACAAAATTTTTTTTTTTTTTTTTTTTTTTTTTTTTTTTTTTTTTTTTTTTTTTTTCTCTCTCTTTATATTTACAATCTGTTTTTAAACAATAAGTAAATTGTATAATTAATATTCAATTAACAGAAATAGCAGTTTTCCAATGAGCCCTGCTATTATATATAACATCTTTTTAGTTTGTTAAATTTATCTATCAGGGATATCGAGAATGTGGTATCTTTTCAGTCTTCTTACTGTTAGGCTATTGTCTAATAGACTTAAGGCTAAATTATTTTCGTGGTTGTGGAGTCTGTCGATGTATTTCTTACTAGTTTTCTTTATTTCTTCTTTAATGGTTGGAATATTCAGATCTTTGTGGATGTTTGCATTAGATACGTAAAACGGAGCATTGACAATTTGTCGCAAAGTTTTTGATTGGTAACGCTGAAGTATTTCAATATTTGAGTTGCTAGCAGTTCCCCAAAGCTGTATAGCGTAGGTCCAAACAGGCTTCAGTATGGATTTGTAGAGGCGAATTTTGTTTTCCAAAGTGGTTTCTGATTTTCGACTTATCAGCCAGGACATTTTTAGTGTTTTAAGTCTAAGTTGTTGACATTTTGCTTTAATGTGGTTTTTCCATGTTAATCTGCGGTCGAGATGCAAGCCGAGATACTTCACACAGGTACTTTGTGGAATTGGTGAGCCGTTAAGTGTAACATTTGGGCAGTTACCTGGTCTTAATGAAAACGTTATTTGGACGGATTTCAGGGAGTTTATTCTAATTTTCCATCGAAGGAACCAGTCTTCAATTAGGCTTAGCTCACTCTGCAGGAGTTCAGAAGCTTCATTTATAGATGTGCTTGTGGCTAAAACGGCTGTATCATCAGCATATGTTGCAACAGTGCAGTTATTTGTAACTGGCATGTCGGCCGTATATAGGGTGTAGAGAATTGGTCCCAATACGCTTCCTTGTGGGACGCCTGAGTTGATGAGAAGTAGTGATGAACTATCGGTTTTCTGCTGCACGTAAAAGCATCTTTTAGCCAGATATGATTTCATTAATAAATAGTACGGAGCAGGTAGCCATTTCTTTATCTTGTACAACAAACCTTTGTGCCAGACTCGATCGAACGCTTGTTGAACATCAAGAAATGCAGCAGTGCAGTATTTTTTGTTTTCAAATGCCGAAACTATATCATTAATAACCCTGTGACATTGCTCAGGGGTCCCGTGACCCCTCCTGAATCCGAATTGGTATTCAGGAATGATGGAAAGTTCGTCTAAAATTGGTAACATTCTCTTCAATAGTATTTTTTCAAACACTTTCGAGAAAATTGTCAACAGACTAATGGGACGGTATGATGTCAATTCCGTTTCTATTTTGTTTGGTTTTAGGATCATAACGATCTCTGCACATTTCCATTGACTTGGAAAGTGGTCTAGTCTGAGAATCGCGTTATATATAAGAGTGAGAAACCGAATGCATTTTGGTGGTAAACTTTTTAGGGTGATACCGTCTATTTTATCAGGGCCTGGTGCTTTTTTATTGNAAGAATTGCAGCACCTCCATGAGCTCTATCTGATGGATGGTCAGCTCTTACTGTGTCGTATCCAGTAACTTTAAAAAAAGATTTGCTAGTGAAGTGTGTTTCTGAAATAAGCATGACGTCAATGGCATTCGTTTTTAAAAATAAAGCTATTTCATTTACATGGTTGGAAAGCCCATTGGCATTCCATATTCCTAAGTTTAGATTTATTTGCATAGCTTATTTACAAGTAACATTATCATGTTAAGTAAATTATTGGTAAGTTGAGATTGTTTTTCTAGAAGCTGTTCTATTCTTTCTAGAGACTTGTTCGAGTTACTATTTCCTGCAGCAACTTGAGCGTATGATTGGTAATCTTTGGGTTGTTGGGTCGAATTATTAGACGGAGCAAATGATTGATATGTACCATGGTCATTTTTATTTTTGTCATCTTTGGTGTTTCTCTGGTGGTTGCGTCCGCTTATTATTTTTTTTGATATAAGATCCTGATAGACTTTACACCCTTTGTAACTAGCAGCATGATCTTCGTTGCAGTTGGCACATTTTGCTGGTTGCTCTTTATCTTTTGGGCAAACGTTGCTGGGATGGTTAAGAGAGCATTTCACACATCTGTGAGTTTTGGCACAATATGACTTTGTGTGTCCAAATTCCTGGCAACGATAACACTGAACGATTTCTTTAGTTTTACGGGGTGGTTCTATATTAACAACTGCGTTACCAATGAGTTTAACTTTGTATATATCTAAGTTCTTATTGTTGGGCTCAATGTCTAAGTAGAACAAATTCAATGGCTCTTTGGTTACACGACTTTTAATATTACTAATGTTTCTAACAGCGTGACCTTTGGACTCCACATCTTGTTTGATTAATTCGATATCCGTTGAGAAGTGCAAATTCTTAATAACAACTCTGAATGCCCTCTCATGTTTAAGTTGGTATGTGTGAAATTTGACAGAATCTTTAGTAAGAGTTTTAACAAGTTTCCTGTATTCTTCAATAGACTTTACCATAACTCTCACATGACCATCGCGTTGTACTTTATAAAAGAAAAGCTCTTTTTTAATTGTAGTCTCGAGGTAAACTAGCATTCCTTTTATATCACTGACTTCAGATAAGAATATAGGTGGCGGCTTGGCAGATTCAGTTAAGCTATCTTCAGTTATCATGTCCAGTGCTTCGTTTTCATCTTCATTTCCGTTATTTGGCGTACTGTCGCTTAGGAGGGCATATTGATTGGAGCTGGTTCTGGGTGCTAAGTCCAGAGCGATTTTTTTCTTTAGTAGAATAGGAGAGACTTGGTTTTGTCTCTTGACTGCCTTTGACTTCAATTTTACTCTCTGCCAGTTCCAAACCGTTGTGTCGTCTTCGTCGTCGTTCATGATAACAACAACACTTTGTTATTGCTTATCAGTAACCACTATTTTGTTTGCTTTTGTTTTGTGAATCGAATAGTACTTTTGCTTTATATTTACGAACTGAAAGTTTTTGCTAAGGCAACTTCGGCTCAAAAATTTACTTTTATTTCCGAAATTTTATTTTCACTTTCTCTCCTAGATGTTGCTCCTACGAGCAGCTCCGTTCAAACACGTTCAAAACAAAATTTAAATATGATTAAACAAATACAAATGAACAAATGAACTTTTTAGACAAATTTCTGAACACACACACATGATGTCTTCAGAAAAAAATAAAGTTTTGACTTTAAGGCCGCAACAAACAGGCCATAAGTTGTTTTTAAGATGTATTCTGCTACTCGCGACGGAAACAAATCCAACAAATCAAAAACCATGGCAATCGGTCCAGCCGTTCTCTAGTTATAAGTGCTTTACAAAATACGACTTTCTTTTATATATATAGATATGAAAACATTAAAAAAAAAAAGTTGTACTCCTAACCAGCTAATAATATTATAGTATATAATATATATTAAATAGAACCACTAACCAAATAGTATATATAGTATACTATTTTATAGTATACTATTTGGTTAGTGATAGAACATAAAAGTAGAGGAATATAATCTAAGATTACGGTATATTGAAGGTGTATTTTGAAAAAGAGAAGGTATATTTTGGTATATTTTTGAGGGCTTACCGATAATTCCGCGGTCACACTGGCTAGATGTCCCAAATTGATTTTTGAAATTTTTAAATAATAAATATAAGAGCAAGTGCAGTGGATCGAATGAAATAAATCACCATTATTGAGAACCACGCTTGAAGTAAGCATGGGAGCGAGCAGCAAATGTGAAGGTAAGATAAGTGTTTAAATCTGCATGCCAATATTTCGCCGTGTCGTGTGGGTCGGTGACACGGTGGTGGGAGGTGACTTCATCACCTTTGTTGTCCGCCTGTGCAGTGCTGCGGCGCATTGTGCAACTTGTGGATATTGATTAATTGCAAGAAACTAAAGATACACACACTTTGGAATTTCGTTGTAGGAGGAATCGAAAATTAGAACTACAGACAGACCTTTCCAACCATAACTATTTAAATCGGGGACGACTCTAAAAACCATCACAATGGATATAATGGAGCCACCAAAAGTCAATAACAACATGAACAAAGTGTCCCCCGTTGACAAGATGAGCTCCAGCATCAACAGCACACTGGAAGACACAACGCCCAGCGATTCAGGGGTGCAGTTGCTCGATTCCGAGAACAGTGATGTGATGCTGGAGTCCATGTGCTCCTATGAGGAGAGCTCGAGACCCATTAAAGTCACTTCACCACAATTACCTTCAATAGACCCTAACTCCAATGTGGCACCGGCTGAGTCCATGATGACTAGTGACTGTTCGACCTTTGACACCACTGAGAAAATTGTGTACAGGCGAAAGGTTCACAAGACTTCATCCACATCAAAAGCCCCGAAAAAGCGCGTATCCTTTCACGAGGATATTCTGAAAAACACTCGCACCGACAATATTCACATAGAACATGGCTTTATAACGTACAAAAATGGCCGCAAGCTGACCTTTGCGAACTCTGCGGGTGTGGCCGGAGCACCCGGCCGGTATTCCTGGTGCCCGGAACGAGATCGTTTCGAGGGACCCAATGAGATCTCTGCAGCTGGCAGAGACGATGATGATGGCGAAGATGCTATGGCTGGTGGTGGCAGAGGTGGCAAGCGACATTTGGTGTATAGAAATGCCTGCTCGGATGTGCTAGACTATGTCAACACGGACATGTTCGATACGAATGAGCCTGTTGGCCTGCAGTACGACGCTTCGGGTGTGTTCGAATATACCCCGTCTGCACAGAAACAGGCAGAGCCTGTCCTATATAATTGCGTTTGCAGCAGCTCCAACTCCAGCCTGGATTCGGATGAACAGGACAAGAACTCCAACTCGAATCGAAAGCAATACGAGCAGGCCAAGAGCAGCTCTTGTGATTGCATTGGCATGAGTAATGTAAACAATAATTTAATTGGTAAGGCAATAGAAGACTAGTCTTTAACTTAGTCGTTAACGTATATCTATAATCTCTATCAAATAGGTGACAACTGCTACTACTCGGAGCCCAATATTGGCGATGTCGACGGTCCCGCAATGAAATCAGTTTGGAACAAGGAGAAAAAGCCAAAGTCCAGCTGCCTTAAGAAAACAAAACGTCAGACGAACATCATTCTGGAACAAGATCTCAATGGCCGTGTCAAGACCTTTAATGTGCACGACATTAAGCATCAACTACTAGACAACAGCAGCAAAATGATCTTTGGATCATTGAAAAGTATTTTCACGATGCCCCTGCCAGAGCGAGGGGTGCCCGAAGGCTCTGAGGACCTTCAGGCGGTGGTAGAGTGCGTGCCAGAGCTGGAGCACACTCTGGAGACGAAAGCAAATCGTCCACAGGAGTCCCTAACGCTCAAACCCAAGCCATTCCTGAGCAAAAGTCTCGATGGCAATAAGCAGACACAGTCGGTTAAGAAATTTGTGCACAACGTAGATGAGCAGCTTCGGCACAAAAATGATGACAGCTCCGTGGAAGCCTCGCCCACGGAGACAAAACCCTCGCACACTTTGCAACGTCAGGAGGAATTCGATAAGGAAACAGCCGCCATAAGCAGCATTCCCAATGAATTCCGAAGCAAATTTATTATCAACTGCGAAAGCACAGTCTTCGAGCACACTGGTGTGTCCTACGAGACTGGGCAACCGCAACCAGAATTCTCCAACACAGACCAGCACTCCAGAGTAGCCAGTTTACTAGAGCAAAACACACCCATTGCCGAGCCAGCAGCTATTCAGTTAAAGAAGTCGTTCATGGATGCACCCATTGCCAAAACGTTTAGCAATTTCTTTCGCAGCCTTAAGGAAAGCACAAGTGCTGTGGGAACTCCAATTGAAAATCCAGAAGAAAAAGCAGCCGTAGATGATTGTGCTGGTAAGAAAGTGTAAACAAATTTATAATCTTATGTTATAATGTTTAATTTATTTAACAGCTTTAAAAATGCCTAAGCCGCAACAACAGCAAGCGGCATCCAGCTGCAAGCTGTACAGAAATCACTCTTCATCTACCTTATCTGAACCGACAAGTTCCACCAACAACAGCAGCGGCCACCACATCAATCAACAAGCTAATAATACAGATAGCCATTCGCGTCATCTGTCCTCTCCTCTGAAGAAGTATGGCCAGCCAATGCAACCAACTCGATACTACGACCAGCAGCTGCTCCACAGTCGTAGCCTTCACAGCCCCAACAGCTATCTGGCTGCTCCCGGGGGTGGCTGTGGGGGTCCTGGCGGAAGCGGACGCGACTCAAAAAGCACCATCCTAAGCGAGGAATACGATGATTTACTCACAATAACCACCACAGATACGACCAATGATAAGCGTTCCATGGACAGCGATCTGCTCATCATTGACTACACCGATGTGGACTATGCTCACCTTCTGAAACCTCCAGCACCTGCAGCCAAAACCTCATTAATCAATCGATTCCTACGAAATGTCACCCAAAAGAAAATACTAGAATCCTCCATTCGGAAGAACAATTTCTTCGCGGATAAACTACGAAACGAACAGAGGCTCTATGTCAAGGGGGCTCGACCCAAGAACTATGAGCTAATAGACGACCTCAATGCGGAAATCGCAATGGAGATTGAAATGTGTGGAACGAGCTCCCCTCGCCGAGAGCTGGCTGTAAGCCTTGATACGGATACGCCAGAGTGTGTATCCAGCTTTGAGCTTGGCATTGGAGAAATATCAATTGAATTGTTTCATGGAAAAAGTCTGCTGAATTTACGAGATTCCAAGGATCAGCTTTTAAAGGTGTTCAAGCTCTATACTGGTTACAGCACCGAGGGCGTTATGACCCCAGTCTTGGTTTTACTTACTGACAGGACACTATATGTTGCAGATCTGGATCGGGACAGCCTGTGCGCCAAGTTCGTTTTGGCCTACAAAGACTTAGATGTAATTTTGGTAAGCATTTTTTGGTTCAGTTCATTGTGATCTCTATCTATAATTATTGGAATTCAAATTATTCAAGATGGGTCCCTTCGGCAATACTGTTCTTCTGAGTAACAGCATGCGGGACATGCAGCAAGTTTTACTGTCAGGTGGACCATATCCAGCCGGATCCCTTGTTGCCAATTTGGAGCTTTGTGCCAGACGCAGCGGCGCCACTCTACCGGCTGTGGGTCAACTGACATTAGAGCACTTGGCCCCGCTGCAGGCTTTTGTTCGAGCCAACAGTTGTGTGGGTCGGGATGAACGCTGGCTATTCTATGCCGTTGTCAATGTTCCAGCTGTCGATTCATTCAGAGCAGACTCACCTGGTGAGCCACTGGGACCATCCATTAGAGGGTTCCTCATGCATCGACGGCTTAAGGAAACAGCAACCACGACAGCTGCGAGCAGGGTGCACTGGCAAGCGGGATACTTTTTATTGAAGTCCGTTGGAGTTTTAAGCTTTTTAATGATAAATTAATCGAATTTTATTAAATTTTATAGAGCCGGCGTCTTGTATATGTTTAATGACTCCACCCAGAATCTTCCCAGTTGGGCCATGGCTCTTGCCGAATGTCAAGGTGCCCGACGGACACTAAAGTCCGAGCGGCCTCATTGCTTTGAGATTATGTTAAAAGGTGAACTCCTGCAAATGGCCGCACCAGATGAGTACGTCGCGTCCGAATGGCTGCAAGCCCTTCTACAGTCGGCTACTGGAGTAAGTCATAATACAAGTAAATTAAACCCTTAAACAGTCTGTTAAATTCTGATTTGATTTTAGCATTTGAAACCGCAAGAGAAACACAAAACATTGGGCTGCACTATGATCGTTACGGAAAATCACTTGATAACCTTGCGGGAAGATTTTTCGTCACCATTGAGGCCACTCAACCATCATGTGGATACTAACGTAGTTCCACAAACCAAACAACTCTTATGTGAAGAAGAGCTATTGAGTGTATTTGAAACGGGTAGCCTAGTACGTATATTGAATATCGTATGCTATCAATATGAACAATTTAATGCTTATGTATTGTTTTCAGATGGGCTCTACAATGAGTACGCCGACTCGGGGCACTCAAAGATCTTTCTCTTCTTTAAGCTCCACGCCTACGAAAAATGGAAACGATCCGGAAACACCTAAGGAAAATTCGTCCCCTCCTGGAAAATCACAGCGAATGAGTAGTGTCTATGGAAAGAACTCTGGTCTGGCAATACTTACTTGTGGGGAAATTAAAGCCATGACTGGTATTAAGATAACATCTCGTACCGAGACCTGGTGGTGCATACTGGAGTTCTCGTGTCAAGAGGCGCCCTTGGAAAGTCTCGATGATTTGGTTATCTTTTTTGCCAGCAGCATGGAAATGCAATGCTTTTTGCGATTACTGGAACAGTTGTGGCAGGCCAAGAATGTATGTAGGATCAATGGGTCCCACAACCCTATTAATAATTACATAATTTTGGTCAAATTTTAGAACGATCTATTTCCAATAACAATACTGGACGACGGTGACGATTTAGCCGAGCAGTGTACCCTTCTTTATATAGAGACCAATCGAGCATGGGAGCCTCTGCTATCGGCTGCAATGGGTTAAGGCGCTTAGTGCTCAAGCTTATATATCCTCCATTTACAAACCCATACACAATTTATTTCCATGAATAATTATGTCTAAAGTGTTAAAAATACTATCCAGAATACTCAAACTAACTAAAAAACAATAGTATTTATATGCGAACGTAGTCGATATTATATATTACATTTGTATTTTCAATTTTGTATTGCCTGCTGCCTTCACTTAACTCATTTCATTGATTTGCGCTGTTGTTATACCTACATTGTATGTATATTTTTGTGATATTAAACGTAAACCTTTCTAATCATTTTCTTAGGTTGTATTTCAGTTATATTTATTTTTAAAATTAAATACTCCTTCTATAAATATAAAAAAAAACAATACGTAAATTAATCTACTTATACCGAGTATCAACTTAAAAATATAATTAAATAAATATGTTGTTTCAATAATGGTATTCTGGTATGAATGTACATATGGATTTACATATGTATTTACATACATATGCGTCTAAATTATGTAAAGTGCAATATATTATTATGCAGAAGGGGGGGGTTTGATTTTATACAGAATTCCGCAGTTCAATGCATGCAATTCCATTTCAATTATCAAAGATTAAATGCCGTGCCTCCTTTCGCTCTCAGCCACAACTCAACCTTTGCCAAAAGGAATAAACGTTATTATGACCCTATCTACTCATAAACACACATGCTACGTACATATGTATTTTTTTATATTATCTTAAGCTCTTTGAATGATGAGCCTTGGCGTTTTCAATAAATAGAAATGGTATAGGGTTGAGCAGTCCAAGTAAATGTGAGGTGGCTTCCTATTCTCTAGGCCGCGCATCAGTTGCAGCAGCCGGGGGAAGCTATCTACATACATAAATATGTACATACATATATACATACATACATATGCCTACATACATATGTACATTTCGAAATGAAGGTCTTTAGAGGATGCTGAAGAGGGATACGAGTTAAGTGTTGTAAGTATGTATGTACATATGCATGCACATACATATCTGCAGGTTTAATTTACTCTGTATGCACATATGTAGATATAAATGCTTTGTTTCTAGACAGTACAAAGTTTCAGTGATCGAGTAACACGGAAACTCTCCGAAATCATTTCGTACACTTATGCAAAACTTATAATTATCATAATTGGAAAATGTGGATATAAATTCATTAAAAACAACAATGTACACGTATATATGTATGTATGTATGTACGTATGTACAATTGCATGTATGTAAATATGTATGCAAAAGTTGCAGCTCAAAAATCAAGCTAAACAAAGCATTGCATTCAAACGTCCAAGAGGGAGAGAGAGTGAAAGAAAAGAGAGAGAGAGAGAGAATGAGGAATATGGAGAGAATGGGAGAGAAACGTAAAAAAACTCCAACCCTCTTAATAAGTCAAACGAGTAGAAGACAAGACTGCAACAGGAAAAAACAAGAATGAGAAAAATATACAGACACACAAACATACAAATGTACATTCTCACACATTCAGCTCAACATATACAACAGAATTTTCAACCGCAGCGACTTGAACATGCGCTACCATGTTTTAGATATTATTTGAAGCAAGTTCGATGATTTTGCAAGATCCTGACAGGAAGGAAGAATATTCTGAGCTACTTTTGCTCAAGCAAGCAATATGTATTAATAATTGTATGTACATACATACGAATGCATGTACATGCATGTATGTATTTGAGTCTGAAAATCTAAACTCCATGTTTGATTGCTTGAACCGATCAACGGATGGCGATACATACATACATATATATGTATGAAGTGGATCCAGAAATACTAAAACACTTGCGGACCCTTGAAAGAGAACACTACTCTTGGCAGTTCATGCTTTCTTCTGCTGGACTCACTTTCATTAATACAAGCATTGGCGAGCAAAATGCAGCAGCAAACCCAAATGCAACGAGAGCAATGCGCCCGAGAATGCTCGCTCTCCTCTGTGCCTCTCTCTCTCTCTCTCTCTCTCTTTTTCTCTCTAGGCAAACAGATCCCAGATACATGCACACAGTGTATGTATGTGCGTTCACATGTAAACGGATAAGTGCACAGCAATACCACACAACCCCAAAATGTTGGAAAACCAAATAAAAATACAAGGCGCATTGTATGTGCGTTTTCTGTTTTAGATATCACCGACTTCTGAATGCACTATGCTGGCGAATGCAATATACATATGAAAATGGTACACAACATTTTTGGTATACGAAATCTGTGAACATTTTGCAACACAGCTAATAACAAACTTATGTACATAGATACATCTCTGACTCATGTCCTGCATCTTTTCAATTCACGAACCACTAGCAAGCTTACTTATTCGAAGCGAAACGCAAATGTTCAACTAAATCAACATTCAAAAAGTCATCCTGCTTGGCGCTGTTGTCAATTCATTGTTTTTGTTTCAGCAGCAACAAAAAAAGTAGCTCATCTCAGTTGAAAACCAGTTTTTATGCTGTTAACCGGTTTTCATCCTGATAACTTACAGCGAATTTTGTGTCTCGCTGGGTCTGTGGCTGCGGCTCAGTCAGTTCCAACATAAATTGCAGTTCGCTTGCACGGGAGATATTCGGCGGCGGACCAATTCTAACATTTAGCTAATCAAGAGGAGAGGCTGGGCAAGTGTCATATGCCCAACGCTCAATGCAGCAAAATGTAAGGAACATACAAATAAACGCGCATTTTCCAGAGAAGTAGAAAAACTTCCACCCTCAAAGCGGCACACAACATGCGCGCTTACTTACACACACACAAGCACACTATACATACATACATACAGAGCGAACTAACACAAACATGTAAGAATGCTGCAGTCGACGAAGAAATAACTGCGAGGGCTATTCGACGGCCGCGTACCGAGTACCTGCATTCATCCTAACATATGCGTTCCAGGCAGGCTCAAAACAGGAATTATCACTTTGGCTTAAATAGAAATAAACGGTTTGGGGACACACGCAACCGAAGCATGTTTAATAATGTACCAAAGGTCTGACGAGGTCTAATATACCCGTGTACCCTATGGTATGTCACTGTCATTTGCGTCGCAGTCTCTGCCGCCGTCCGCGCTGTGTCTGTGTTGCCTGCCCCAGTGTTTCCGCTTTCTTTCGTTGTAATGTTACTTTTAGTTTGAATTCGGAGCCTCGACGAGCCGGTTGGAAGCGAGATTTTAGTTTAATTCTGCTTGGGTGTGTGCGTGTTTAGTTTAAACGAAATTGAAAGTTGTACACTTTACTACCCCCGAAAAAGCGAAGCACAGCATAAAATTGTGCGCTCATACGCGCGCGTTTGCGACTGTGTGTGTTCGTGTGTGTGTGTATGTGTAAACGCGAGCGTGTGTTTGCATTAGTGTGTGTGTGTGTGCCACGCCACGCCACACCAACGGAAACCAACCCCCACCAACAACAGAATAAAAGAAGAAAACAACAACAAACAAGCAAAGTTAGCACCACCCACTCTTGAAAAACTGCCTCATAGAGTTCGGCGTCATCGTCATCGTCATCGCCATCGCCGTAGCCGTTGTTACCGTTTCATCATTGCCTGTGCCCTGTGCCTGTCTCTGGTTTCGGCTTAATAGCGATCGGATCGTGTTGTGTAAATTGTGAAAAATATACATACATACAAATATCTACTAAAGTGTAACGGATAAGTGAAGCAAACCGATTTGAGAATACAAGATCCGCTATTTGCCGAGACAAGGCGAGACCCCCGTCCGCCCCCATCCTGCCGTGACAACCGCTAGCTTACAAACTGCTATGATGAATTTCTCCGCGTTTGGTGGCCCGTTCTCTGGCATACATCAATTCGCCGCTAAATTTGATGCACAAACGCCGGGAGCATTTGGAACGCCGCCTGCGAACGCAGCAGCCGCTGCAGCCGCAGCAGGAACCGATAATCATGTACAGCGCTATCAGACCAATGGCAATCATTTTAATCAGAATGTGGCCAACGGTAAGTGCATATACCAACTCCCATACAGAGGCAAGCATGCACGTGCTTGTGCGAGAGTGTGAGAGTGTATGAGTGCGTGGATGTGTGTGCTTGTATGTATGTATAACATAATCACTAAAAATTTATTTTATTTTTATCGATTTATTTTCGCCCGCTGCTAGCAGAACAGCAGCAGTGTCGGCGACGCCAGCGTCATAGCGTCAGGGCATACACTCTCACTCGGCAGCGATGATGTTCGGCTGCCGCTTATACCCGTCTCTATGCCCTACACAGCGCTTCGCTTCGGTGTATTATGTATCGATGGTATGGAAGGAACTAAACTGTTGTTTTGTTGGATATGTTATACGCACATATAGGGAATTACGTTGCGTTTTTGTATTTTGAGTGTTGGATTGGATGATTACTGTTATGTTTACAGGTTAATTAATTGTTGGATCATTGGAGGAGAGTCTTCTTATCACACTTCTTAATATCTCCTTTGTTGTGGTCTAGGGCACCTTTCAGATACTGACCGATCAGTTTCTCATTGTACACATCGTTGCAGGTTTTTAGTTTCTTGGAACTGCAAGGGGAAGGAGATTCATTTATATTTGTACAATATACATACAAATATACACATGTATCTACATACATACGTATGGATGTATTTCCACCCCATCCCTTATACATAGCACTAGTAGACATCTTCATACGAGGGCTAGTCCAATTTGTAAACCGCACTATAATTGAGGGTTGGTGAGCGGGAAACGGAACGACTTATACCCTGTCATCAAAGCAGAATATAACGATTTTTTTTTGTTTTTGTTTTGCGCTCTTTTTTATATTCTACTCTATGTTTTGAGTCATTACCACCCTCCCCCTTTTCGCTAGTGGGTGTTTGAGAGTGCGTGTATGTGTGTGTGTAGCCTTTGCTGCTGCCAGTTTTTCTTGGTGTGTTGCTGTTGTTTTGCTTGGCTTGAAAATGCAATGAACTCAAATAACTTTTGAATTTGCTGCATTTCACTTTGTTGTTTGGTCGGGGTGGGTTTTTCTCTCAGAGCTACTTAAGCACATACATAGAAATACAATTAAACAGACATGCACACACCCATGCATACATTTGGTACATACAAACATATGTATTTTGTATGAAAATGCATATAGGACAGAACATATGTATGTTATATGTATAATATGTATGAATGTTACATACATACATTTCAACCCCCAACCAAAAAGCTATTGCTTTTTTAATTGCACTGACTTCTTGCCAAGTTGCAATATTTCAGTGGAAGGGTGTGACCGACCACCAGTGCAACCCCTACTGGGCCTCAAATCTCTCACCTCCCTTCCTGCTCGTGTGACGCGAATATGTACGTGGGGCAAGCAAATCATCCTAGTTCCTCCAATCACCCCCCCCCCCCCCCCTCTTCTTTCTTACATTGTGTTTCTTCAGCTTCTTATCAATTTTAATTAGTTGCATTTGCTTGCATAATTGGATTCCCCGGCCAGGCATCCCACTACTCCCGTTTTTCATTTACCAGCCCATCCTCCAGAGAAAGCCTCATTTCATAATTTATTTCTGCTATGGCAACCAATGCTCTCGTACATAGTTTGCATTTATTGGAAAGTAAAGAACTAAACGCAGACCCAAACTCCACAACTCCATTGGGTTCATTGATCCCGGCTTTTGAGCTACGCATTATATTTCCAGTTTAGCGTTTTATGTTTTTTTACCTGCTATAACAGGAAAATTTCTATACTTGTGTGTGCGTGTGCGTTTGTATTGCTGTGGGTTGCTCTTTTATCTCGCTTTTACGTGCATACATGTACGTATTTACGTATGTACATGTAGCTGTACGTAATCTATGCAGTCTTGTGAGCGAGTGTGTGCATGACTGTGGTTGATCCTATGCAGGCAGGTAGGTAATCTGTCGCACGTCGATGCCGGCTGTACGGCTACTGCATTTTCTTGTCGCTTATTAGCTGCATTATCGCTTCGCTTTGCAGCGCCAGTGCCTGGGCTCTAAGGCTGTCCAGGAGGTTCCAGCCTCCAGTTATCTCTGCTGCAGATGCATTTGAATATCATTTCATTGCTTTTCGGTTGTAAAAATTGTTATTAGGTTACCAGGAAATATGCACACATAGCTGCTCGCCTACTCTTGCCCTTACCATTTCCATCGATGTTGGTTCAACATCGCCGCTTATGAGGCACATTTCTTAGAATGAGGCAAGATTTTCTACATCCTAAGTAAATAACGTTATGGTCCGTTATGGATTGGTTTAGACAACGTCACCAAAAGTACTTTATTAATCTGTTAAATACTTTGTTAAATCGAGGATTGTTTTAGGTTTTTTCCATAGGGTATCTTGTTGTCGAGGACACTTTCCCTAAAGTATGTTTCTTCGTATTCGGACTTCAGGGGGGGAGGTCTAATGTGCCGCAGACCCAACCATTTGCATTTTTATGTACCCATGTACATATGTACCCACATTTGTACATATGCATGAGTGTGAATGGCGGGTTACACCCCCAACGTTGCCTGGATGTATGCAACACTAAAAATGTGCGCATGATAAAGCAATGAACGATGGGTGGGAGGGGAGGATTGGAGAGAAGACCGCCACAGCACCAGAACCAGCCCCAGTCCCCATGCCATTCAATCATATCTATTAGAAGGATGGTACATGAGGACCAGCATTCCATGATTATTTTCCTCCCTGTCTTCCGAATAACTTTAAGACTTAAAGCGGTTTTAGAATCGTTGTTGTCATGCTGGCGCGCTGATGACTTAAACCCTGCCACTGGCGTCGTGTATCCCCCATTCAGCCTTCCTTCAAACATTGCACTATGGTCCCAATGACCACTTCTGGTGGCCAAAAGCTAATTTTTAAAAGTTAAAACCAAGACGCAGTTTTTGGGTCTCTGTATTAAAAAAAAGATTGACCATCAAAGCCGCGTACCAGAAATTTTCATAGATGTCGCCACCATCGAAAAGTCTGCTGTGAAACCTAGCGGTCATTATTGCACAGCGTGTGCAGGGAAAAAGTACCAATTGTATTGCTGTTTTAAATATGTCATGAATTGAAAAATAGATTAACTGGTCCAACAGTCTAACAGTAGGCTTTTTACTACGTGTTTTGTAATGTGAACGGTATCTAGTAGTTGGCGATGTCTTCGTAATTGTACGTCAAAGTGAGGCTCAATTTGTAGCAGTTCGTAGTGAAAAATAATTTTGTAAAAAGTGTTTTTAATAGAGTGCCACTTAGTCCCACCTTGAAACCTATTGTGTGTCGTAGACCATTAAATGATTGTTAAAATGTCTTTAGTCAGAAAAGCCACATTTGACCACAACTCTTACAATTTGCATTTATAGACCATAACCTCAAATGAGAAATTTCAATGTTTTTTGCCGTAGGGGTAGGGTACCATTTTGCATTGCATTTAAGCCACAGTATTAGTCACCAGCTATTTTGGAGGGAAGAGTGTAGCAAGTGTAATATTGTTTTATAATGGAAACTGCTGAAGAGCATGCTTTGTGGGAGAAAAAACGATTATCTTAGATTTTTAAGTTGTTTTAATTTGGGCTACGACTTTTTTTTATAAAATCTTGATCTGCTAAACATATTCCCATCCTTTTTTTGCTTCTAACAATAGGAGAAAAAAAAAAACCCGATTTTCTCTAAAAAAAATGAGCTGCCACGCCCATTTCATTCAAAAAACCTTCCTCTTCCTATTCTTAACTAATATCAAAAGACTATATCCAAAAATCTTCATTCGTTCGCGAGTTACTAATTAAGGACAAGAAAAGTGGTCATTGGGACCATAGTGCATTGGACTCTCACACCAACAACCGCATCAAACTTCGGGTCAAATTTCGCCCAACCCTAGGGGTTGCAGTTTTTCCTAACCACGCCATGGATGGTCTCTCTCGTATCAACTCTCTTTCACTCATTCTGTCACGAGGCCGTCTCTCTCTCTCCATGTCACTCCCTCACTCACTGGGTTTTTGGCGCGGGCGCTCTCATCGCTTTCACTGCCTCTCACACACACGAATGCAAGCATATATATGTATGCTGTCACTATTGCCGACAAACATAGACACAGATAGGTCCAGATACCCGCCATCCGCCATGTTTTCCAAATCGTAGCCTAGCCCCCCAAACCAGCCGACCCATGTCGTATTCCTTTCCATTTTGTTCCACTTTGATGTGAATGATCCGCCCAGGAACCCCACTTGAACTGTCAAAGCCCGCCATTGTATGGGGTCTCTCTCTCTCTCTCTCTCTCTGTGTGTGCTCCGTGTTCCGTACTTCGTGCTCAGTTTGGGGCGCCTCGCGTTTACTCTCCCTTTGCCTGGCCCGGTATCAACTTCACCGACTTTAACTCGTTGCTCGGCAAAATGGCAACAACAGAGACGACATCGACATCGTTCTCTTCTATGTTGTCGTCATCGTCATCCTGTTTCATGGGAAAGTGAAGTGAAAAGTGAAATGCTACGAGCAACACAACGCATGCCGGCTTCCATCCACGCATGCCTCCTCTTTTGTGTTGTTGCTATGGCTTCATTATAGTGTCTTTTTGGTTGATAAAGATACTTTTGAACTTATTTAATTGTAAAGGAATAGTTGGGATTGGTTGTGATTTATTTAATTTTTTCGCAAATGGAATACTTATTGTAATTATCGCTATACCTAAGAGGAGCACTTCCAGAGTACTGCACCTATTCGTGTGGAATTTAAAATATGTTAATTTTTAGCTCAAGGTCGTTCGCTAATGTGTTCAAATAAAAAATAAATTTGGACACTTTTCCCTTTTCCACTACTCTTTTGATGATTATTGTCCTTACCATCTGGTCTAATACCCAAAAGTATCCATCAGAAAAGTACACATGTACATATGTCACTGGGTACTTGCGAGTGTCTTGGCTGTAAGGAAAGTATAGTCTGTAAAACAAGTCAATTGGCAACAGCCAGAAATGTTATTTTTAAAACCGAGCACCCGGCTAAGAAATATTTCAGATGGCAAAACGCACAGCAGTACCGAGCAGAAATGTACAAAAAAATGCACACCCCCAGAAAAAAGTGGGGAACGTTTTTCTATGGCATACATTCAGGCGTGTGCGCGTGCTGGTTGTTGTTGGCAGGAGGCCGCGTCGCGGCCGGCATTTTCAGTTTCAGTTTTAATTTCCTTTTTCCTATGTATGCGTTGTCGGCGCACCCGAAAACACGTGTGTAAGCGTCCGTGCTGTGTGTCAGTGTGTGTGTTGTGTGTCTGTGTGCGAAAATTTGGCCTTGGCAGACGGCAGGCGTCTGGCACAAGGAGTTGGCGGCAGGGGAGGCAGGCGACGACAGCAGGCAGACAACAACAATTGTAGGCAGGCACACGCACGTTCTCCACACCGAGTAGGAACAGAACAGCGTTTGTTAACTACATATGCCTGGACATATCTACATATTCATACATACACTCGAGTGTACAAATCCCCAAGTTTGTAGATATGTGTACACATTATGTGTCTGTATACTCAGAGAGCTTTTTCGGCGGCCTACACACAGCACTCACACACAGACGATGCATTTACTTGGCTATTTATATACACGATGCTCCCTACGAATACATATGTACGAGTACGAGCATTTTTGTATGTATGTACCTTCTCTTACTATATGCATGTATCGTGCCATATCGTCGTTACTTTGGTCTTTTCTCTGTTTTGTTGTTGGATTTTGTGCCGGCACCCGATCTTTATTCGGCTTGCCAGCTGAGAGCTAGAGGAGCCGGAGGAGAAGGAGCCGGGAAAACTCCTCTAGTCAGCTCTCAGGACAGAGCCAGAGACTGAGCCCCAGTCAGCAGTCAGTTGTAGTTAGTCGGCCAGTGTACATTGTGGAGCTCGCGACTGGTGGTCCGAAATTGAATTGGATTGCTCTGAGTTACACCTAAATCTAAATCTACATTACATATTACATACAAATATACATACATATACTATAAAAAGGCTGTGATAATCCACCCAGTTCAACACCAAAATGTGTAAATGAAAACTCTGATGAAATTTTCAATTGCCTGAATTTCCCAATTGCCGGTTCTTCATCCTGTTCAATAATGATTCCTTTTTGTCATTTCAGTTTCGGCAGCAAATAACATGCAATATGGTCAAAATATATCCATACCATACTCATCACAGCCGCAGGGTGATCTAAATTTTCTAAATGCAGCCGCTGCAGCCGATCATAAGGGTAAAATCCATCCAAAAATCGAACGTGACCGGGAAGAAGGTGAGTCGTCGTGGGTGGCTATGAAAATCAGTTGAATAGCAGTACTGTGGCGAGCAGTAACAGTACCGCACCGGTTGTGGGAGGGGCAGGAGGGGAGGCTGAATTGTACATAGGACTGGCACACCGGACATACACATGGGTCATGTACATATAAAGTATACACAGTCTTTGGGTTGGTATATGTGCATTTCAAGGACGCACATTATTCTTCGGCACATGAGCTTCGGCTTCTCGTTATTTATAAATGTTTTTGGGCCTGTCTGGGACACTGCGTGGGGATTTTAGTAGAAGAGATTTCATAGCATACTTTTTCACTACAAGTGGATATTATTTTTTAATTTTGATTACGGTTCTGCTTCTGCAAATGCGAAATCTTGCCCCGGAAAATTCGTCTGAAGTGAAAGCTCTGCCAGTGGCAAGAAGGGTAGAGAAGAGATGGAGGTGCACAGGAAGGAAAAAAGTAGGCTTTCCGTTGCTGATGCCTGTGGCCTTGGGAGTAAATGGATAATATCGCTCGGATTATATATTAAGAAAATAGACGTGAGACCCGCCGAGTCCCCACTAGCACGCCCACGCCGCAGCCCGCCGCCTCCTAGGTTGTCAAGGGGAAGAAAATTGTTGTTGGGGTAGGTTTCTCGTTGTAATTGTAACAGAACGAACCCAAGAAAACCCAAGAAGACAGGAAGCTTTAAGCTGAAATTATTTCATGCATCTAGTTTGAAACTAAATCGTTTTGTTCCCCCCCCTGCAGTTCTCAATCAGCAGATCTTACAGAATGTCAATCAGTCGTGGCAGACGCTGGCCAACACGGCCAACACTGTGGACTATTCATCGCACTTGCTCTCCGCAACACTGCCAATCTCCATTCAACACTTCCTCAAGTATTCGGAGACCATCAAGAAGGAGTCCTCTGGCGATGTCCTGAAGAATGGCACTAATTTGGCCAGCCTGGCGCTGGGAGGCGTGGCCCTCACGCCCAGCAATAATGGTGCGAACGGAGGCCACCACAATGGGGGATTGGTAGGAATGGATCACGGCGGTCACATGACCAACATGACGGACGCGAATGGCACATCGCTGACCAATGGCGGGGCCAGCAATGGCGTCAACGGCAATACCAATGGAGCGGTCGCCAACGGTGGAGCTGGGGCAGTGTCCAGCTCAGGGTCAGTGGGTACCACCAACGCGAGTGGAGGCACCACCACAGCCAGTGGCAAGAAAACCAAAAAGAAGAAACCACCAAAGGAGAAGAAGCCACGCCCGAAGCCAGGCGAAATCCGAGAGACGAAAGCGCTGGACGGATCCACTCTCTACTGCTGCCCCGAGTGTCAAATGGCATACCCAGATCGGAGTTTAATCGAGCAGCACGTCATCTCGCATGCCGTGGAGCGACGCTTCGTTTGCGACATTTGCAATGCGGCCCTCAAACGCAAGGACCACTTGACCAGGCACAAGCTATCCCACATACCGGACAGGCCTCATGTGTGCAATGCAAGTTTTATAATTGATAGACCCTTTTGCTCTTCCTTTCGCTGTCATTTGACTGATTTGTGACTTTTGATTTCCATCAATAGATCTGCATGAAGTCCTTCAAGCGCAAGGAGCAGCTCACTTTGCACATTGTTATCCATTCCGGCGAGAAGAAACATGTTTGCATTGAGTGTGGAAAAGGTGAGCGTTAACAAAGCACCAAAGCTTACTTACATAAATGACTTAAATGACTCTTTTGTTGTGTTCTTTTTTTTAGGTTTCTATCGCAAGGATCACTTACGTAAGCATACGCGCTCCCATATTGCCCGACGCGTCAAGTCCGAGGTATCGGCACAGAACGTTAACGGATCCGGGGGCAACAATGCACAGACCAATGCACTACATGGTTCCTGAGGATCGTACAAGGACTTTTGGTAAACTCTCAAACAAATTTCAAGCCATGAGGGCGGCCGAACTGTTGGCAATACCATGCGCTCCTCCGTAAGGATTGTGTGGTGCTGGCAGCAGCTGTGCCGCCTTTGAAATTTGTTGAAGAGTTTATTAAAGGTCCTGCTGAGCGTCACCAAACTCCAACTCCAATAACAATAACCCTCTGAATAAAATGATGTTATACTTACAATTTGCAAGTATTAGTACGATTTTGTTCACGACACTTTCAGTTCTTTAGCTTTAGTTCTTTCAGTTTAGATTTTCGCACAAAAGTTAAGTCAAGTAAGGAGGAGAGTAAATGTACAAAACAAAACACAACACAGCAAAAAAATATATACGGAACAGATTTAAAAAGATTTCGAAGTTTAGTAATGCGCATATTTTAAGGGAAAACCATACCATACCATACCATACAAAAAGTTACTTTCATTTCTCTTTGAGGATCTGTGATCTGTAATTGCTGCATAAAAAAACAAACACACAACAATTGATAATTGAAAAACTATCGAGCGATAGCTGTTTTATGAATAAGTTTTTTAATTTGCTTAATTTTAATCAATTTATGTGCAATTAACAAACATTTTGATTTGCCTTTTAGTTGTTTTGGTCGGCACCTCTGTTCATCGCGTGAATTATGAATTTTATTTCGAGAAAAAACCTGGCTTACATGTTCATATGTATGTATGTGCAAAAGTCAAAAGAATAATTGTTTCATTGAGTTGCAACCTACTATTAGCCACTCTTTTGCGCATATTAATGAAGTAAGAAACCCTAAAATGAAATTTATTTCTAGTCTTGTATTTTATTTTATCCATAGACATAGTAGAGGAACGGAATCCTCAGAACAACCCCCTCAAATTCGAGGTCATGTAATTTTAAGCTTTTAAACTTGAGCGTTCAAAAGGAACGAAAGGAGATCCTCCTACGCGAAACACACACTAAACAGAAAATGCAATACAAGGATACTTGCTTCTTTGCATACCCAACTTCCAGCCATCGTCATTCTTTAGAGCAGAGAACTACCATTAAAGAAACTGCAACAATATCTATGTGTAATATACATTCATACCGCGATAGATACAGATACACACACACACACACCTATATCCAGCTTACCAATCAATAACTGATAACCAACAAAACAAATTAAAAATAAGAACAATATATACAGAAGCCACAGATACCACAATACCAGATACCAAGATAGCAGCTAGCACAGAAGATCAACAAATATTGCAAATGCTAACCAATAACAGAAACAATAACCGAGACATAAACTGTATAAAACAATATTTTTATATATATAAATACAAAAGGAAAAAGGAGAGCAGAGCATATGACAGAACAGAATAGGAATAAAGGCATAAAACAATAACCGAAATAAAGTGCAAACACTTCGTGCGAGTGACAACGTAATTTACTGTTCAAATACAAAGCATTTTTGAGATTAACGATAGACGTACATACATGATTAATCCATTAATCCATATGCATACAAGGCTATGTTTTACTCATGATATGCATCCTCGTCGTTCACTTGTATAGTTAATATGACTGCTTCAAACTAATATACGCTAAATTACAGAAGATACAACTAGACTGTAAAGCGAACAACACTTAATTCCTTGTTTGTTTCAATCACACACACGCACACACAGCTCCCAAATGACCCTTTGTGCTCGAACTTTAACGGCGAATGTTATAGTACCCCATAGAGTTCGAGCCAAGGGGTCATTCAATATGCTATGGTTCAATACTTGTTCGAAGAAGTACTATTCGACACCAGTCTTTGGGTTTACAGTACAGAGCAGAATGGAATGTAATTCAAACACTTGCAGCGAAGTACAAATATATTAACAATACACACCTTCAAGAGGAAGCCCCCCACTAAACAACAGGCAACAAGCAGCCAAATGCATACACATAGAAGGAAATCGAAACGAACCACGAGAAAAAATTAGCCAAAAGTAAAAAAAAAGCAAGAAAAAAAACAATAACTATGAAAAACCTAAATACAGTTACTACATTAGAGGGTAGCATATTATTAACAAGTTTTTTCTGGCCAAGCAAGCGCTAGCTTGGCGACTCTCCAATGTTGTATCCCATCCATCATCATCCACTGACCCCCAGCCCAGAGACAATTTATAAACAAAAGTGACAAGTTATGAATAATTAAGCGACCTTCACACAGCAAACAAACAAACAAGAAGTTATTATTTTGCAATTGATTTTCTTAGTCTCTCTCCTAACATACAATACTTAAAATCGCGTAAGAGTATATAAAACAATAAGTTAATAAAGAAAAAGTTGCAATAAATGACAAACAAATGAAATTAAATCACTCAGGGATAAAGCCTCCAAAAGAAAAACAAACATAAAATAAAATGCAATATTTTAAAAATGAAAGAAAAGAAAAACAAAAACGAAAACGAAAACGAACCCGAAAACAAAAATTTAATCTAATGAGAAAAGTACATTTTAAAGTTAAAAAATATTTTAGTATAATACAAGAAGGACGAAAACAAAACAACATTTTTTAGAAATTTGCACAAATTTTTGGCATTTTATAAACGCATAATAAAAGATAAAACTAAAAACAATACATAAAAAGCAAACAAACAAAATGACGAAATAGAAACATATTTTCTCACATTTCATTGGCTTAGCGAAGGTTTAAAAACAACAGAATAGATCGGCAAAAAAACAAACAGAAAAAAACATAATTATATACATACATTCATAGACAAACGGTCCGTGCAACATTTAGTGCATTTATATAAAAACAAAACCATAGATAAACAACAGTTCATATTTACAGGAAAAGAAGTATCGATCCATCGTATAGAGTATTGAGAATACAAAAATGGGAAATTAAAAGAATGGAGCGAAGTGGAAGGGGAAGGTCGGTGGCCAAAGATGAAGTTTTAAGTGTAGTTAGAGAGGTGGGCACGTCGAACAGAGAATAAATTAGAACGAGTGCAGGTGCTGGGTGCAGGCACCAAGAGAAGGCAGAATCGAGTATACATTACAACATTGATAGATTTAAAGAGTTTAAACACAACCCAAGAACACTTTATGACAACTGTGTGTATTGAATTTATGTTTAGTGTCTGCAGCATGCTAGGAAAGTTGTGCGTTGAGGGAAGATCGAGAAGAGCTAAATACTTTTAAGGTTAGATTTTCTGCGAAAGGACTGAAGTTAAGGCAACGTAGCGTTTAGATGCAAAATTGAATTGAAATCGAGTGTTATGGATAATGGAGCGTGCGCGAATGCGAATGCGATTGGTGACGAAAATTATTTGTTTAAGGCTGGACTTTGTAATTTCAAGCAAAAACGATAGACGGTAGACGGTAGACAAAACGAATGAAAACAAAACATGTAAAATGCAGATACAATATTTTTATAATTAAAAATGGAAACCCAACCAACCCCTGTTCTTAATATGTTTAACTCAACTGCAATTATCGTTAAAGACGTATTTACTGTTTGTGATCCAAATTCATTAATTAAACGCAAATCACCCCATTTGTTGCATGGGCAAGGTTTGAAGTAAACATCAGATCAGGGTTCGTTAAAAACCTCACAACGTACTTAACACATGCGTTTTTAAGACACTACGCAAATAGAAGAGAACGAAAAACTCGGGATTTCTAATACGAGCCATATGCAAGGTTTAAAACTTTATAGCGACTCGACTCGACTCGATTTGCAATGTTTTTCAGGCAATGTCAAATACAATACCTGACTCGGCCTGACCTCGACTCAACCGTGGAGTCCACAGTACTTTTGAGGATTATACGAACCCTTATAAATAGAGCAGGAACAGTAACTTGTACTTAAATGAATGAAGATAAAAAAACAGCCACTTTGAAATGTATTTACTTGAATCAAATAATATTAATGAGTATATATAACTTTGTACTTGAATAATATTTTATTTATATATACCTTAAGTCAATAAAAATTCTAATAAATTATAATCACCTAAAAATGTGTTTCATTTAAATATATGTTACGGGTTAATTTTAAATAGATATTTTAATTATTTTATTTTAATTTAACGAAATCTTATCTCCCTCTTCACCCAGATCAGTAAAATATGTTTAATTGAAATTTTAGTCTCCAATTGTTTCCGTTAAACCAACATTGCCATGGAACCTCAAGGCCGCCTCAAATAAATTGTTTTCAATTGGTATTTATTTAATATCTATTCATCAACAAATCAAAAATATATTTTTAGTGTTCGTTCGGCAAAAACTCTTTTTTGAGTTCAAAATTTTTAGTAACATTTGTACCTGGTCAATGCGGTATCATCGTCTGGGACCAACGAATTTCGCTGTAGCGATTAAATTAAAAAAAAAAAAACATAAATCATCCACAAATATATCGATAAGAAATACATTTCGATATATTGATGACGTATATCTGACATCAAAAGTCTCGAATGGTGATTTGAAAGCTGGCTAATATGCAAAATACAATTAAAGATTTGTTAGATATGTATGTATAAGGTAATAAGGTATACAATCCAATAAAAAGGAGTATTTATAGTAAGCCATATTGATTCTTTAATCTTTGCAAACTAGTAATATCAAAAAGACATACAAATTTACGATATTTGATCGATTACTCTGCGGTTACTAACAATTGTTAACTCAAAGAAGAGTTGTTTGCCGAACGAACACTAAAAATATATTTTCGGTTTGTGGATGAATAGATATTAATTAAATAACAATTGAAAACAATTTATTTGAGGCGGCCTTGCGGTTCCATGGCAATGTTGGTTTAACGGAAACACTTTAAGGTATATTATATACTTTTCAGGATATTTTGACGACGAAATTGGTTCAATTTTATATTTACGGTATATCGTTGTACATATAATGGTAGATTCATTTAATGAATTTCCATTTTTAAGGTATATTCAATAATATAGGGTATCCCAACTCCCATGCGCATGTTATGTATATGTCCCTCGAGGAGCTTCTCTCTTTTCCGTACGGAACTTTCTCTATCTTTGAAGGGATATTTCTCTCTCGAAACATGGGAATTTTGAACAAAGCCTGTATTGCAACACCATCTACATTTTTTACCGTTGTCAGCATAGTTTGGAAGGGGCAGCAGCTGCGAAAAGTGAGCAGCATTGTTCAACAACATTTGGCACGGAATAAGCAACATTCAGTACCCTTTGAGGATGGATATCCTCGAATTGAAGAAACTTTAGAAATCTCTGGCTCCAATCAATGCAAAAACATTCCATCTGTGTTGGTAAGCCATCTTAACAACATTTTTCGGATACCGAGAATATGTCTAGATCGATATTCATAAGTACATACATAGAAGGCATATGAAAAGGTTAAAAACATGTCAGTCTAAGATAAAGTCATTATTAATGTTTGAGAGAAGCTTTGAAAATGAAATTTTTATATTAAGTTATGGAAATAGGGTATACAAACGACCTTACTGTACTATACATGCCGTTGACAAGCAACATATTGTCAAATTACGTTGCATTCCGTTCCCACTCACGTAACGTTTTATCCCATTTTGTTTGTTAACCTCTTAGCTTTAAGCCTCTTTAGTAATCAGATCCGAAAACACGTTTGCTAGCAAACACTGAAATATATGTTTCTAGCGGCAGAGTGTGACCAAAGGTGAAAACCGCTTACATATCAGGAAGCCGTTTGGCTTTCTTTACCATTTTGAAAATGTGTGAAAATGTAATAAAAGATTAAACAAATAAATGAAAGCAAAATGGATCCATGCAGGAAATTACTTTTAGTGGGATTGGCGGCTCTTGCGTTAGCGGAGGAGGAGTAAAATAAACGAAATAAGCGCCGACAACTTTGATTAAGCCCATTTCTACAGGAAAGAAACTAGGACGGTCGTTTGTCTATACATGTGAGTATTAGATTAAATGCAATCTCATTAATCCAGAATAATTTTTTACTTTTTGCCGTTGATGGCCTCAAGGTCGTTGAGAACGGTGGTCATTTATCTTTCAACTTCAGCGGCATTGTTGCCTCCATTTTATTGGGACTTTATGTCGAACTGCTAAAAACATACTTTCGAATACCACAAAATACTATCTGCTGATTTTTTAGATTTAATGGGCCAGTGTACTTTTTAGCGACTGTACGCCGGCACTAACCATACAGTATCTAGATTTGACATTACTTGGAAGCGAAACGTCACCGCTCAGTGTGCGTGGTGAAGGCCCAGAGGGATCAGATTGGATCATTATAAATTATAGTTTTAGAGCGAAGACTCCTAACTAGCTGGTAATATCATATAGAACATCAAAATCGAAGAAAATGGTTAAAGACTACGGCATATTTTTTAAATGAGACGGGATATTTTCGAGGGTCTGTCGGTATATTTTATCGATAACCCTGCGGTCACACTGCTGACGTAGGGTTGTCAAGTATTTAAAATATGTTATATCGGTGATATTTGCTTAGAAAAAATATCAATATAATATACTGCAAAAATATCGATATATTTGCTAACATATTTCTAGTCTTCGTTTGGCAAACTTTTTGAGTTCAAAATTTTTAGTAACATTTGTACCTGGTCAATGCGGACTCATTGTCTGCGACCTAACAATTTCGCTGTAGCGATAAAATAAAAAAATATATATATTTGCTAAAATTCAATTCCGTGGGGACGTGTGATACGCTTCGAACATACATACACTTGTATAAGTGTGCTGTTGCTGTGATATGCAATCCGTGAGCAAAATAAGATGGCTCTAGCTTTTATAGTCTCTAAGTACTAGCCGAAAAACAACACTGCCAGACGGACAGACAGACATGGCAATATCGACTCGGCTATTGATGCTGATCCATACTACTAACAACAGAATATATGTTTTTTATGGGGTCGGAAACATGTCCTTCTGTGTGTTACATACATCCACTTTTGTGCACAAATACAATATACCCTATAAATTTTTTTAGATCCTGTGGTAAGTTACCGAATTTGAAATATATAGAAAAGTATCGCCAAAACATAAGAAAAATCAACCAAAAATCACGATATAAATATATTTTTATTTTTAAAAATATCGATATATTGATATTTTGATATATATCTGACAGCCCTATGCTGACGTCGTCTGTCGGAAAAAAATCTTCGAACGGTGAAAAATGGATCGGTAGCTGGAAAGATACTTTTAAGCGAAATACGCAAAAAAAACGGCTTTTGTCCGCTATTTCAGCGATTTTTTTTGTGCTGTAATCGGCAGGAATAATTTTTAACAACGACCACTACACCACCACCCGTCAGTTCCAGCAAAAACAACACAATACCTGCAATATAATTACTTCTGCACCACAGAACACCCAACTATTGCACAGCCAGCCAAGCCCACAAAGGAAAGGTGGAACGCAAAAAAAAAAATAAGAAAACCAAAACGGAAAAAAGGAAGAAATTGAACTTTTTGCCTGCTTTGCCGATGTGATGAGAGAAATCTGCAGTCGCCTACTCCAACAATAAAACTACTAGTAAATTTGAACCAAAATCCTGTCGTACGAAAGAATCAAATTAATTCACACACCACACTCGCATTTCTTGGCAATTGGATTAAAAGAGTATCACAGGCAGAAAAAATATTTTCAACCAGCCACCATTTTGAATGAGCTGAAGCAGCAGATAGAGAGAGACCGTAACGCAGCCGACGCAGCAGCAACGTTTCTTGGATTGCAGCTGGCGTCACAAGCCCCCTTCTAGCCTATTCAGTTCCTGCTATTTGCATCCATTAGGACGCCGAGACTGTGCCGGGCCACCTGGTGTTCATTCTGTGGCCATAAATAATTTCCAGCGAAAACGCCAACTCCCGAAAATATGGTTGAGTTTAAGGAAAAAAATGCCAGCACAGCTGCAGCAGGCAGCGTGAAGCAACATCAACGCAACGCCAACGCAGGGAACGTGAACAACAACCCTAGAGGTTCTGGAGACAGTGGGTTATGCGGCAGTGGAGTTTCTTCCAGCAACACGGATAACAGCTGCAGCCAGAGTCAATCAGGTGAATATATAGAGATTACTCCTAGGTTTGGGTAACACATACACTTTTATGTGTTGTTATAGTGCTTAGTCATATTGACAGTTAGGAAAGTTCTCGACATTTCCTTTGCTCGACTTCCACGTTACGTTTGTGTTTCGTTTCATCATCAAAACTTTTGCTACGCTCCTATTGATTGTATCAAATCAATAGTAGCAGTAAACATGTGCATACATATGTATGTACATGATGAGTCTATAAAAGTGCACATTGAAACATATGCAAAGATCGACTCGACGTGGTCGAAAATACATTTTCTCTTTGTTTTTAACGAAATACCGGGGCGAGAAACAGCTGCTGCTGTGGAAGCCAATCAAGCAAGGCGGAACAAGAGAGTGACACGCAAAAGAGTATCTACGAGCTGAATGTGGAGGCATTTAAAGTAACGTGAGTCACTCTACGGTCCATGCAATTTGTTCAAAACGAATGTTTTGGTAACAAAGTTTTATAGCTTAAAACAACGACGTTCATAGCGGTAGCTACGATCTGGCAGTTGGCAGCGCGGCTGGCAGAGCAGCCTGCATATAACCTTGATGACGTTTATTGCTCTTGATGACGTTTATTGCAACCCAAAATAGAACGACAGGCCAAAGCGAATTGGAAAAAGCAAAGTGAACGAATGAACGGACTAACAGAGACAAAGCGATGAGAGCGGCCTCTCGTGCCTCCTACACGCTCCTATGTTGACCGAGTTTGGTGGCAACTGCAATGACGGCAGATTTCAAATAGAATGGACCGAACCGAATCGTACGCGCAAACGAATATCTAAAACCTTAGACCAAATAAATGAAACATTTACATATACCGAAATAAATTGTTGTAGAATACACCATTCACAAGCTAGTAAACGCTGGTGTTTTAATTGAGGGCGATGTTATTCAATAAAACCATTCATACATACAAATGTACATATGTATGAATGGATGTGTATGTTGTCTGTTCTATGCTGGAATAAAAAAACATGGAGGACAGCTAGTGCCTACGTGCACCTTTACATTCGCGTCTCTTAAAGTCCCTCAGTCGCCCGCTCTCAAAGCCCCGAGAGAGAAATTGTTACATATGGCAATGCCGCCTTTAGCTTAACAAAACAATATCAGCTGAACTTGTTGTTTACTTGGGAAAGACGAACACAATGCTACATTTAAATGGGTTTCCTTTGCCCTTTCCACGTTTATGCTTTTTAAAAGAATTCGAGCACATCAGGCCACTTTGTAGAAGTCGAAGTGTGTGTGTGTCTGTGCGTCTATTCACACTTCAACCTCCCAAAAGCCATGAGCTACGTGAGACAGAATATACATTAGTGTTTGTGCTTGTCCACACTCGTAACAACAGTGGTGAAACAGAGCTGCCAACTACGGATGACGAAAACAAGTCAGTTTCCAAAAAAATATATTAGGATAGAAATGAATGAAAAACAGTAGTTACTAGTAATTTTGAATTATCAGAATTTCGATATTACTTATGTTGACTTGTTTTAACGACACTGCTTTATAGTTTTTCCGACGCATGCTTTCAAAAAGTAGACATGTAGTGGCTCTTAAAAAGCTGACTGCAGCAGCACTAATGGGGAAGAGAAACCGACAATTTGATTCTAAGAGTATATGTTTATGCGCTGTATGTTGGTGCCGCTCGCTCTTTTTCTCTCTTTCGAAGAGTGTTTCGGCTCTCATATGTAAATTATTACTTTAGACAGCATGGTGTATTCTTTGCATCATGGAGGGATTGTGCTAAACATCATGCTAAACTACAAACATATATACAACATACATCATAAGGCTTCATACCGGTCTTTCTTCTTCAACGCAAACTCTTAACTGTTCACCGTACTCTTCTCTTCGCCCACCTTCTGTTTTGTTGCTATTTCCCCTGTCGTTGTTTTTGTTTTGAGCTGACACAACCACAAAGATGCCATTTGTCGCTGCCTTTACTTATTGTCAAAACTGGTTTTGCTAATAAATGATATGGCTTTGGATTTAGTTTTTCTCTTTATTTTTTTCTCTTGCTTTCCTCACGCTCTTAATTGTTTGCTGTTTTATGTGTGCCTGTGTGCACGACTATACATACTCTATGTATATGTATGTATGCACTACATATGTATATGCAGTATTTTCCATGTTATCACCACAGGTATCGTATCGGCTGATTCCTTTTTTTAAGTTTGTAGGAGGGACCTGGGAACTTACCGAATCCCAGTAATTTCAATAATAATAAGCATCAACCGTAAATAATTTTAGTATCCCGGTTGCTGTTGATTATACATACAAATATGGAAAAAATACAGGTATTCAAATATTGACTTTTAACTGATTCAAACACACACATGTATGGCTGCATTAGTGCAACCAGAATTTATTATATGTACTTCCGGGCAGGTCTGCTTGTTATTTACTTTGGCATAAGATAATATACTCTTATTGGTGTGGAGAATTCGGCTTTGCGAAGCCGAAATCTCCAGCGCTTTGAGGAGGCTTCTGGTTGCTTTTCTTCTATCTGCAATACATATGTACATACATATGGCACGTGTAAAGAGGGAAGCCGAGAAACAAGAAAACCAATGTACATAAATACACTTTTTATTACAAGTCACAACAACAGCACACTCTCGCTCTCATTGTGGCGCTCTCATCCGGCAAAATAAGCTCACTCTCGCGTCACGTCGTCGGTAGTTTTTTGGCTGTTTGTCCGCGGTTCGCCAACGGGCGCGTGTTCGATTCTTTCCTCGTTGGCGCCGAGTACGTTAGGTCCGCTACAGTTTGTCCGTGTTTTTTATTTTTTAAACCACTTTTTTCGCCCATTCGTTTAATTGTGCACCAAAAACTTTTCCGCATCCACCGGTACAACGAATCCCTTCCGTTATCTTTCACCCACTAGTTAGCAAAAGCCAAAAATTTTTCGTGTGCTCCACTCGTCGTGGGTTGTGGCTATCTTTGGGGAAAAAAACGCATTGAGTGTGATTAATAATGAAGGCGAGTGAGTGAAAAATAAAATGTGGATGTCGAAATCACAGACGGCTTTTTTGCGTATTAACTTGAAAATTAATCCAGAATAGGGTTGAAATTAGCCCAAATCCAAACATCGAAACCACAAAGTAGCCGGAATACCTACCGGTAGCAATTTTATCTACGCATTGCAAAAACGTGCCGCACAGAAGCGAAACGGGCGTTGCTTAGACGAATTGCGTTGCGATTAAAAGGCGAGAAAGCAATAGCAACAACATCGCAGCAAACATGTTGGGTAAATACAAAACAAGCGTAGAAATAAATAGTATGTGTGTGTGTGTGTTATATTCTTTAAGTTTAACCAACACAATTGCGAAAGCTGCATACATTGTACATGTGTATGCATGTATGCATGTATAATTCTTATGTTCTTCAGTAAGGTGCAATCTTGGGATCTGCATGGGAAAACGTTTCAAAATGCCGGTTTTTGATTTTTGATTTGGCGACTTTTCCGCTACCCATTAAATCAGGTTGCTGCCCTTTCAATTTGGATTTTGCGTTGGTACTTTCGTATATAGTGCATGAGCCAGCATGTGTTGATGTTTATGCACAAACAAGTGTTAATATATATGTACATACTTATATACATTATAAAGTAAAAGTGCACATGGGGCGTAAGAATTAAATTCAAGCTTGATATTGTTATTCTTTATTTTGTATTCATGCTGTTTATTCGATTCTTTTTCTGTGGTCGCTTTTGCGTTGGTTCGCCATTTCTATTTAATTTTTGCTTTTACAATTTCATTTTGCTGCGCAATAATTTTCTGCTTCTTTACAACACAAACACTCGCATACCGCGCCTGCTGTGTCTGTGTGTGTTTTGCCCATGAAGTCATGCAAAACTAGAAGGTGGCGCAATGAGCAGACTGACTGAGCTCTCAGAAATTTCAATCTTCGCTACTAGGAGAACAAATATGAAATATTCCATTTCGATCAGGGGTGCGATCTTCTCCCACTCACGCCACTCCACAGTCAACATTGTGAGAGCTCCAAACAGTGTGCGTCTCCTTGTCTTACATTCGTCATGCTATGAAGTAATACCAAAAGAGAGATACGCCTTATCTACTGTTTGCTCTCTCTCTAAAATGTTGCTCTCTTTCTTTCTCTCTCCGCTGAAAGCTCGAACCGCATGTTTTTTTCCTCCATCAACAATCCATGCTAGTGATAAAATCAGCACAAGAGGTACGAAGCGAAGGAACTCAATACAATAAGAAATATATTTTCTATTGCCCGATTTTACCGCACAAACACATTTTTAAAATTTGTGTTGAGTTTAAAGCTAGCTTTTTGCGTAGTTCATTCTTATCGGCATTTTGTTTATTCGCATAATTATTTGCCACCGTACTCCTGCGTTTCTATACGTACATATGTACATATACTGTGTTTATTGTTATGGAACTTTGAAAATTTGATTATGTTTGCTCGTAAACCACGAATCTAAAAGGTTCTTTCCAGGCTGATAATTATGGTTTAGCTATCAGGTGAGTTTTGTTTGGTTAACAGTAGATCTGAGCACATGCTGTATTCTTCATTCTGATACACTAGATTGTAAATAATAAGATGCAAAATAGCCACGAGAGTGAATGTAATTCGAGGTGAAAAGCCGGCCGGCAATCAATGATCAATTGTTTATTTACATGCTTACATATAAGTTGTGTGTATGTACATTTAATAGACATGTGTATGTATATATTTACATATACATACTATGTATTATTCTCGAAGTTATTTTGGAGGATACTTATCTCTATCTCACACCTTGCATATTTATTTGGTATCTTTAAGATTATCTACGCAATTGATACAATTTACGAAATCCCAATAAATAGGCCAAACATAAATTTAGACAAGAACCGACAACCGCCTGCGCAAACTTTTGTGTACGTAAGCATGCGAGGAAGTCCGGAAGAAAAGACCGAGAGCATCGAGGTCGTACAGATGAGACGAGACGCGTTGCAAATGACGCGATAACGACTTCGAATAGAGGGGGGGGGTGTTAGTGCTGTGTGTTGCACACATGCAGTAAAAATGTTAGTTGAGGCGCACCAAAATTCTATCTGAAAACACACACCAAGTCTCAAGATCAGATATTTGATGCATATTCCCCACTTAATTCTCGGTGACCCAACCCTTAATTTCCCTTCAGTGGTGGTGTGATTGCGGAGGCAGCCAACAGCGAATTGCGATGTGATTAGGAGGAGATATTCGTGCAAAGTGCAACGGGCTTTGAATAGTCAAAGCGCTGAATGCGACAAGAAAAAAAAATCACACAATAAACCTAGCTGATCGTCAGCCGCCTTACTTTTATTGCCATCGGGTGTGCTGTGGCCTGACTTAGCTTTAGACAACCCTCTGTACATATATTTCCAAACAGAATTTTTCTATAAACCTGTGAGTGTGTGTTTAAATATTAGTATTCGGCTGCTGCGAGAGTTGTTTACGTCCCGCGATTTGCATTATACGCAGTTGGGCAAAATAATTTCTTACATCGACTTCCTTCCTATTTCCAATTACTATTTATATTCATTGATAAATGTTGAAAACTACTTAAATAAGAAAGATAAAAATAACAGTAAACCAATAAATTCGATCGTTACAGATGGCCAGAATGAGCTTACGCGCTACAGTAGCGAGGATGCGTCGGGAAATGAGTCGAGTGAAGCACCCAACATGACCGAGGTGGAGCGGCAGGCCGAACTGAACCGGCACAAGGAGGAGATGCAGAAGAAGCGCCGTAAGAAACGCATTAGTTCCTCTCTGCATTCGTCAACGTTTCAAGGTTAGTATGGTGGAACATGTGGAAGTACGTACTCTCGAACAGTAATTTAAAAATAAATCTCGAACATCTTATTAGAACTCTACAAGCTGACCGGTGAAATACTTGGCGAGGGCGCTTACGCTTCGGTACAAACTTGCGTTAACATTTACACCGACCTGGAATATGCTGTTAAGGTTATTGATAAGATACCAGGACATGCGCGTGCTCGTGTCTTTCGAGAAGTGGAGACATTCCACCATTGCCAGGGACATCTGGGCATCTTGCAATTGATCGAGTTCTTTGAAGATGACGAAAAGTTTTACTTGGTGTTTGAGAAAATCAATGGCGGTCCTCTGCTCTCCCGCATCCAGGAGCACATCTGCTTCTCGGAGCATGAGGCTGCGCAGATAATAAAGGAAATTGCCTCAGGATTGGATTTTCTTCATAAGAAGGGCATTGCCCACCGTGATCTCAAGCCGGAAAACATTCTCTGTGTGAAAACCGACTCGCTGTGTCCGATCAAGATTTGCGACTTTGATTTGGGCTCTGGCATAAAGTTTACCACGGATGTCTCCTCGCCAGCAGCCACTCCCCAGCTATTGACACCAGTATGTACACCACAACTCCGAATCAATCTTATCTGATCCTTATTATATATTTAACAGGTCGGAAGCGCCGAATTTATGGCCCCCGAAGTTGTCGATTTGTTTGTGGGCGAAGCAAACTATTACGACAAGAGATGCGATTTGTGGTCCTTGGGAGTCATTGCTTACATTCTGCTCTGTGGCTATCCACCATTTTCGGGCAACTGTGGAGAGGATTGTGGCTGGAATCGCGGTGAAAACTGTCGCACTTGCCAGGAGCTCCTCTTTGAGTCCATTCAAGAGGGTAAGTTATCTCAGTTGCCATTATATTTAATGTTTTTAACTTTCTTTGGACATGTGTCTATTTCAGGACGCTTTAGCTTTCCGGAGGCCGAATGGCATGATGTAAGCGATGAGGCCAAAGACCTGATTAGTCGTCTGCTGGTCAAGCAGGCCTCAAAGCGTCTGAGCGCGGAGGCTGTTTTGAATCATCATTGGATTCGTATGTGCGAGCATGAACCGCCGACTAGCAGGCAGTCTGGCCGCCACAAGGCATTGCAGACCCCAAGCAATATTCGACGGTAAGTAATATAGAGCACCAAAGATAATGCCAACCAACCGATATATCGGATCTCTTATTTTCGAACTTTTAGGAATCACCAGTCTGCTAGGGAAATTTCGCAGTTTGCCGAGTCTGCCATGGCTGTTAAGCGCGTGATCTTGCAGCATTTCTCCATGCGCTATGACTACATGAAAGAGCGTCCCAACATCTACCAGCCATCACAGGCCTATATGGATGCTTATAGCGATGAGAACTATAATCCCAAGCCGCCCTCTCATTACACTCGAAATCGATCACAACGCACAGCTGCAGCAGCAGCAGTGGCAGCAGGAGCTGTGGCAGGTGGCTTGTCTAGCTATGGAGGACGCATGTCCTCGATTCATGGCCAGAGGACGAGCAGCCGTCACTCTTCCAGGAATGCTTCACGCAACGCATCTGCGATATATCCAAGCAGTGGAGGATTTAAGACGTTGAATGTTCACGAGGAAGACGATGATGATGACGCACTCGAGGCCTTTGGACGTTTGGATGATGATGACGACGAGTGGGCCATGTCGACACGTCGCTATCAGCAGCAGCGCGAGCTGCAGCAACAGCAGGAGGAGACGCTTGGCGATGATCACGAGGATCACTATAGGGAGAGCGTCAGCGAGGGAGATGAGGGCGACGACTTAGAGAGCGAGGATTATCAACACTATAAGCATTATTGGCGCGAGTTAGACGAAGATGAGGGCGATGACTATTTGTATGAGCAGCAGCAGCAACGCGTCGATGATATTGCAGAAGAGGAGGAGGAGGAGGAGAACGAAGAGAAGGAGGAGGAGGAGAACGAAGAGAAGGAGGAGGAGGAGAACGAAGAGAAGGAGGAGGAGAAGGAGGAACGAAACAAACAACACGCTGACAATCGAAACCAATTGAAAGCTAAAGTGGAACAATTTGGCGAAGCCAATGAAAACGAACAGCAGCCGAAGAATGGTGGGTGTGAGAAAGATCTTATTATGGATAATATGGAAAAATCGAAGCAAAGTGAATTTGCTAAACTCACAATGACAACAACAATGCGCAATGATGCGCAGGAGAAAGAGAAGGAGAAGGAAAAGGAATGGATGAAGGAGAAGGAGAAGGAAAAGGAGAAGAATGAGCAGGATGATGTTGATGGAGCTGAGAGGCAAGGACCATCAAGTGATATTAGTGCTACTACCATCACCGATAATAACAAGAAGCAAACACCAGTTAAGACTACAACAACACACATTAACAACATAAAGCAACAATGTGAGCAGCAGCAAACTGGAGATAATGATGATGATGTTAAACTATTGGATAGTATTAGTGATTTAAATGAAAAGCTACCTGAAATTTATGAGACTGCAAATATTGTTGTCAACTCAGCGGCAGTGCAACCAACAACAACAGCAGCAGAAACAGCAACATGCCCACCAATCGATAACATAAATGATGATGATGATGTTTTGAAAGCGATAAATAACGCTCCGAAGACAACTGCAGCTGAGGAGACAACAATGCGAACGACTTTTGGTAAATCACACGAACAGCAACAACAACAGCAACATACAGGCTACAGCAAACCAACACGCAATGTTTGTTTTGCACTTGATGCATATCAAAATGACGAGGATGCCGACATAGACGAGGACGATGACGATGACTACGATGAGGATGACGAGGGAGAAGATGAAATGGAGCCACAGTGCAATAGTTCAGCAGCTTTTAAGCAACCGCTGCCATCTATTTCCAATGCCTATACACGGAAGCAGCGCCAGCAGCAGCAACGATACATTGTGCCACGGTACCAAGGTCAGGGTGGTCCGGTTTCGGGTCAAAGGCAACCTGAAAATTGGCGCTATCGCACTCATCACTCGGAGCAGCAGCAGCCGGCCGCTGGCTATCGGAAGTACCGCCCACCCTTTAGCACTGGCGGGGGCGGTGGTCACTATGGCAACCAGCAGCGCAACTATTTGGGTAGTTTCTCGCACAGCGGCGGTGCCGCTGGCTACAAGGTAGCTCCATCGATGCAGCCACCACCGCAGCGAAATAACAGCGCTGGGAGCAGCAGCGGCAGTGGCGGCTCCCCTCCATCAGATGAGCAGTCTACATTGCCGTCATCTACGATCCGCAACTGGCGCCAAGATTGCGTTTACGTAAATGCATCCCCAATGCGCAGTTGTGGAATGAATCAGCAGCAGTCGCGGGCCGCTGTGCAACATCGGCAACATCATCAACAGCCAAGAATTGGCAGCGGTCGCTTTGCCCATTCGCAACCAGCCCTGTTGATGGAGGAGCTGCCCAACATTCGCATTGGCCTGTCCCCTCCAAGCGAGAGCTTGCTGCTGCAGCGACGCATGCGGCAGCAACAGCGAGCCAATGATCTGTCAGAGTATTGTGAAGCTGCAACTGCTAGTGGCTAGGCATGCCTTATGCCCTTTTCAGCTTTAAGAAATGTGTACTGCGTCGAAATACATAGTTTTGTGGCGTTTTTTACGCACATTCTCAAATTCAACTTTCCAGTTATATACCTTGTTTGGTGCAACATTTCAACCACACGCAAACATTTCATTAAAACGTAAACGCAAAAATGCAAAATCCTACTAAAGTTCCGTCATCGCAAGAGAAACAGATACAAAATTGTGGTAAGGAAGGATCGAGATAATTAAAAGAGCGAATCGCCTTCAAAGAGCAATTGTCTACGCTGTTTTGAAACGAAAGCCAAAGTCGTTCCCGATAAAAAACGTACTTTTTTTATAAAAAAGATTCAAAAATTGTAATTTGTATTGAACTTTAATTTTTTATTTTGAAAAATAAAATCGAATACAAGAAGTGTTTGAGCGAGATGCATTAACCAATTAACATTTTTCTGTTCTATAATCCTGTAATATTTCATGTAAATTGAGCAAATGTGAAATTTTTTGAAAACTTGAATATTGTAATGAAAGTAATGAAAGGAATATTTAAAGATCTTGTAAAGTATCTGTGTTTCAAATAACAGAGAACAGAATAATTATAAAAACTCATGCAACCATCCACAGATTTAGAGATGCTTCAGATAATTCAAACAAATCAGCGTGCAGATGTGTTTAAGCTCTTCGACATGCGGAAGTGCATTCATTGTCTATTCAGTTTTCAGGTCTGCAGTTGTCAATTTTATTCAATTTTCTAAAAAAGAATCTTTCGAAAACAACTAAAAAATATATTTTTTTAAGTCTTGAAAAAAAATGTACACCCACTAACAAAACACTATAGACAAACCCAAGGGTTCTTGACATTTAACGATGCTGAACATTTTTCATGGGCGTAAATAAAGGTAAAACAAACAAAAGAAATTGTGTTAAATACATAATTATAATATTTAAAAAAATTGTGATATAAAATGTAAATGTAAATGCACCTGAAGAAATCTATCTATCAAATGACGCTGTGCCATCAACAACATCCACACTTCTGACTACTGTTAAGGCCGCCAGGAAGAGGAAGTTTCCGCAATCTTTATTTGTTTACGCCCCCAAAATCAATGTCAAGTGCATCATCAATACTTCTATTTTTCCAACAAACTAGCTTACACTAAAAACTTCCATCTAAAACAAAAAGTATAAAATAAACTCAAAAAATCCCTATTATAAAATATATAAATGAAATGGAGAGAATCGATGGCAAAACAGCATCAGTTTAGTTCAGTTAAAGTTTAGAACATAACATTTATAAAACGACAGCGTCCAGAACATTTTTCACTATTTCACTATATCTATTCCTACAGAAGCAATTAAGTTTGCATTAAAAAATTTGATAATATGGAAATCGCATTCGTTTTAATTTGTTAAGCTGTGAGGAATGTTTCGCAACGAAACAAAAAAATGACTAAGGCAAGATACTACTACGCTCACTTGAGATAAAATCCTTAGTTTTCAAACGTCCGTTAAACGTATGAGTAAACTTAAGCTGTTGGATACTGGTCAAGAGCTGCTTTAGTAAGTCCGAACAGAAACAAAAGTGAAACAATTGATACAAAAATTGAATAATACCATTAATTGAAATGTTTGTATGACAAATTTGTTTTGAAATAATTGCTGCAAGAGATATAAAAAAATGTAAAATGAAAATGAAAATGTGACTAAGATAAAGTCAACCTTCAATAAACGAATGAATAGATATTGTTTTATACATAAAAAAGTCAATAAAAATGCAAAATATACAAAATGTTAAATCTTGTGTTGTCGGTCTAAGGACAAATATCCGGAATACAAATATTAAATGCATATATGGCCGTAAAAACAAAATTAAAAAGCTCAATAAACAAATCAGCCATCCTAATCCAAAAAAGGTATTTCCTTCTCTTGCAATGGGTGACTTCTGATCACTTCTGATCCGGGAAGACCAAAGGCCGTGAAGTCGGCCCTGGAAACCATTTTGATAAAACAGATGATAAAACCTATTTGTTTGATTTTTCATATATTATGTCACAAGAATTTGCTAACTAGCTTAACTTGGCTTAAATACAGGGATAGCCTAACGCGAATTCATTAGGTTGGCCTCTCTAGTCGAACTGGATCTGGAACTGCTATCTCTGGCTTTGTCAGTCTGGTTGTACTGCACTACACTTGAATTGAAGAAAGATTTTAACATTCAGACGTCATGTCGATATATGCCTTAAATATCGGTATGTTGTATCGATACAGCACAGACATCTCATCTCTATGCATCGTCTAAAAATTAATAATAATAATTTTCGATGTTAAAAAAGGGTCCAGCTGAAGAAGGCAGCAGCAGGTGGGTCGAAAATTCCACAGCTGTTTGGATATCAGTGCGGTCTTCGGTGCGAACCTAAAATTGACTAATTGTTGGTCATTAGTTGGCCGAAAAATGGCCACTGGCCTATTGGAGTGTGTATTCAATGATTGGAGCAAAGTATTTTAGGTATTCAGTTTTGATGTACGTATTTTCCACTGCCTTTTCAAGTGATATTTCAGCACCTGTTCTGTTCTCCCTTTCGAAAAGTAATAAATCAATATTGAAAATTAGTTTGTGCGTGCATGTTTGTGTAAAAGAAATGTACGTACGTACAATTGAACATTCATTTGTACATACATATCTATATGTGCATATAGGTATAGCCAGCTCAGACTGTTCTGTCGTACTCTGTGTATACTGAGTGTGTTTCTATACATTTTTCACATCATAACAATTGTATATATACTCTTGTGTATCCTTTCAGGATAGTTTGGCACATGTATGTAAAAACCATTCCTTGTCATTCGGATATATCTGAGAATTAATACACAAGCAGCATGGAAAATGAGCAGGAAGAGTTTGAACACAGACATATGCAGCATGCACACCATCCACGAGTTTCCATGCCATACGGAAATGTGGGTCAGAATCCAGACCAGGAGACCCGTAAGGGGGAGTCTTAGCCAGTTATGGGTAATACTAATCATTTGGAACCTTTGCAGATGGCGGCCCATCGTATACTCTATACTCCATATATGAACAGCCGCGTGATACCATGGTGGGCCAAGCCCTTTCTGATAGTTACATGCTAATGGGCACATACATGTCGACGCCCGAGTCGATTAGTAGCCGTGCTACCACGTTCCAGTCACAGCCTTCCTTTACGGCCCTGGTGGCATCATCACATCGCGAAATAGCCAGCACCAGCTATAGGACGAGTTCTGGTCGATGCGACAAATGCAGTTCTCTCACAACATTGTGCCGCTGTCAGGTGGTATCACCCGCGGCCAGCACAAGTCGGTACGCAGACCAGGTGCACTCCACCCAGAGAATGCCCCAAGAGTCACCGCCTCAGTTCTTTGAGCTGCCCTCTTCGTCAACATCGACTGTGTCAATGCCAACGACGACGGTAAACTTCAGTCCTGGAGTCATTCCAAATCCCAAAAAACAAAAGACTGAAACACTTCGAGAGCATTTGTCGTTGGATCAAGACAATGACAATGCAAATGCCCATGCACATGGAGTGGTGGCCTCTGTCAACGGCACTTGGCCAGCTGCAGCCATAGAAGACCACGCAATGGATGCCTCGGCAGTGGTTTACGAAATGCCATCCAGTTCACTGCTGAGCAGCAGCCCCTTTGAGGCCAGTAGTAGCAATATTCCACCGAGCTCTGGCCTTGCTAGCGTCTACGATGATGTAACATCCAGTGCATCTGATACAGAGCACGTACAGTTTGCCCACACCCGCACAACCAATACGACCACAACCACGTCGGCCATTCAGGCTCACAAAAAGAAGGCGAATCAGGCAGTAAATCGCTCAGGAAACGGGGATGCTTCATCCTCCTCTTCAGCCAATGAACTGGATGCCACACCGAGCACGAGTGCGCAAGCTCGTCGACAACAGAGAACAAATTTATTGAATGGCTACCAGCAGCACCCTAACGTCTTGGAGCCTGAGAACGATAGTAGCGACGATGGCTGGGATCTTCGCATGCGTTATCCTTCTTCATTGAAGCCGTCTGAGCCTGTTATAATGGGAAACAACACAAACAAAAATCTGACTGACCGTCATACAGATCATAACTACTACAATAGTAGCCGAGATGTGTCTAGGGCGCCTCCAGATAGCACATTTGTGTCCGCAGCTTCATGCTCTACGGCTACACATACTACCCGCAGTGTGGATTATGGGACTAGAGATCTTTGCGGGGCTCATCGAATGCGCCAGAGCTCATCAGAGCCTGCTGATGCTGTGTCTCCACCTTCCACTACATCGGATCAAGAGCTGGAGCAGCAGCAGCAGCAGCTGCAACAGCAACAGCAACAGCATGAGAGACTAGATACACCAGCCCACAGTAACTCCTTTGGTTCTAATGCGAACAGTGGTATTATTCGAAATCGTGTGCGTTCTATTGACGAGGTTGCGCATCCACCCAGAAAACTCGCGCGCTTGGAGGCCGAAGGTGCATCCTCTTCGAACTGCACCACAAAGCTCTCGCCGACAAACTTTAATTCGTTTTTGCCAGGAAGGACAAGGCATCCCACCTATGCCGAGCCCGCCAGTAGTTCCTTACAGCAGGTTAGTAGCTCAAAGAAATTGCATACTAAAAATATAAAAAATAAATACTCTTGTGTCTCCCACAGACTTCAGCACAGACGCAACAGCCTTTGAACGGATCTTGCGTAATTACCTATGTGGGTAGACCAAGAGAAAGGCAGTCCCCTGCCGATACACAGAATCAGAATCAGCCTTCAACTTCATCGGGAAGGCGAAACAATTTGAACCGAGGTGACGTTGTGCTCACTGCTCCAGATCTGCAACTGGACGATTGGTCCTCCGACTCAAATGATGATGACGTAGTCTTTGTGCACTCGACACGAGAGCCAATACTCTCCATTGATTTGACATCTGACGATGACGCCGCCGTTAATGAAACCCAACAGCAGCGAGCACGGGAATGGGCCCGGGAACAGGAGCACGTGTGGGAACAGCCAGTTTCAGCCCTCGGCCTTCCCGCGGTCAGTGGCTCTGAGGAAAGACGTCCCATTTTCAACTATGCCTACTCCATTCCATACCCTCGAAGGGACCGACGAACAGAGCCGAGTAATGCTGGCACCTCATTTGCCTTCTATAGCGGAGGGCTGCCGGATCGAACTGCCATTACGGATCACAATTACAGCTACGATCATAATCATGCGCAAGCGCCAGCCACGCTAATGGAAGAGCCCAGCCCTGCAGCAAGTAATTATTTTACGCGTCAAGGTCAAGGATGCACGCCTCGGTGTCCCACGATGGACTCGCAGCGGTACTTTCAGCCGATCACTCCTCCATCCATGTGGCTCTTTGGAGCAGCTCCAGAGACCAACCACACAGAGGGCTACAGTCGCATGCCCAGAACCGCCCCCACTACAACTTCCGGCTCCGAACAATCTGGCCAGCAGTCACGACGTAGACGGACTAGTCCAGCAAACGTCTACCACCGTTACCAGCCGTATTACGTGCCTCACTATGCGATTACTCCACTTCCCACAGTTATGGAAGCAGTCTATTCGCCCAACCATCCACATGGTCCGCCGCCTCAAAATCCCCATCCGCACCCGCATCCGCATCCACACTATCGAGGCGGACAAGGTGGGAGCAGTCGGAGTTCGTTAAGTGGCGCTATGAGTGCTGCCGCTGTGGCGGCAACAGCAGCTGCGGCCCAAGCTCAATCCTTCAACGAGCTCTTGTCCCTGGCCAGTGTTCACAATGAGTCAGAGGCGAGCATAAATAATCGATTGGACAGAGGCCAATCACCTCTTCCAATCGTGCCCCGAGCCCATCCCATGGCCCCATCTGTCGGTCTGGTTAGCCAACCACCGCCTGTGGCAACGACTAATGGTACTCTGGCAGCTGCTGGTGTCTCGCCTCCTCCACCGCTGGAAATGTATTCAGGTCGATCCACCATACCCTACTGTGGCTCACCGCCCTTTAGCGTGCGGCGTTCGGAGGCCGCGTACAGCAATCGTCAGCATTATCAGCCGCAGCCGCATCAAGGTCACCAGGCTCCTCAAAATCAAATGCATGCACACATTCATCCCCCTCATCGAGCAAGTGCCATTGTGGCCACCTCCCTGACACCTGCTCCGCCATATCCGGTTCATCAAAATCTGTGGTATCGTCAGCAGAGTATGCAGGAAATGCATCGTCGCCACATGACTCCCACGCCCATTGATCTCTCTTCGAATGCTCCCATTTTGACCAGCAGTCTGCGGACCCGCTACCTCCATAGCATTTGCAATTGCGTGCATGCCAGGAATGGGCCAGTCTCTAGCTTGGATCCGGCCTACTATCCGCCCTATGATGGCAATTCAAATGCTGCGGCGCCGTCCCAACAGATTCCCTCTAGTAATGGCCAGGCCACGGCCGTATCTGCTGCCCAGCCGCAGCACTCGCAATCGAACATGCGGCACATTCAAGTGCAACACCAGCAGCCTCAAGGCCAGCAGCAGCAGCAGTCTCCGCCTGTTCTGCAGCATCTGCAGCGTCAACGAGCAATCCATCATCACATGTTCCATCATCATTACTCGCCGTTGCACTTGGAAATTGGACTTGCAACGCCTCTGTCGCTCGGCTCACGAATACTGATTGGAGCACCACGCCCCAACCGAGGGGCAACTTTGGTAAGTGCCGGTATTCCGTGCTAAATAAAACATTAGGCTTCATGGTTATCTTCTCGTAGGAAACAATTGAAAGAAATACTTTGCCCCACAAATACCGGCGTGTGCGTCGGCCCAGCGAATCAGATGAGGACGCGGAGAAGTGTGCCATATGTTTGTCTCTGTTCGAGATTGAGAATGATGTGCGGTAAGTTTATTGTTTTGTGTGTTTATCAGATCCATCGTATAATATGTAAATGTGTGTTTTATGCTGTTCTAGCCGCCTTCCCTGTATGCATCTTTTTCATACCGATTGCGTTGATCAATGGTTAGTCACCAATAAACACTGCCCGATTTGTCGTGTCGACATTGAGACCCACATGGCGAATGATGCACTCAACTCCAGTGGGGTCTCTGATGCCGCCAATGCCGCGGCCTTATGACATTGTGTGCATGGAATCTTCGTGTAAAACTCATGTGGACCGAGTTCGCGAGGGCTAGCCAACGTCGTTATAAAAACTAATTAGATAACCTTTGAATCCCACACACTCTTTAACGACACTTGTAGAAGGCGAAACACCAAACAAAATTTCAGTGTTGCGCTTAAATATCAAAAAGAGCCAAATCTGTTTGGCTCAACCCCTCCCCTCCCTATATAGTGTATACTTATCTTAAGTGTTTTGGCTTATAATTTCCTAAGAATATGTACAAATTGTCTACGTTTTGTGTAACAAAATTCTTGTGATAAGAATTTCATAAATGCCTAAATTGTTATAGCATAGAACCTCCCATAATGGGAAATAATCATATTTTTTGCCCATGCCCATGCTGTTGTTATAGTTTTATATATGTCACAATTACAATTGTTTTTGAAAACACCATGCCGATAAAACTCTATATTGCTAGCAGTAAAATGTTTATGATAGAGCATTTGAATTTTAAAGATATGTATCCCAAAATGACAAACAATTATGATTTAGTAAAATATTGTTTTTCTCAACAATATGCAAAATACCACACTTCGGTTACGTTACTTTTTTGATTTATCCCTAAAGAAAGAAAGATATACATAGTTGAATTATAAACTGATGTACTGCTCAACATTTCATGTCGTGCCATATAAGTGATTTTGATTCGATACAGTTTTAAAGTGCTTCAGGGCTGCAGTAAGAAACATGTGTTATGTATGCTTCAAACCTACTCGTATGATTAACTTGTGACAACACTTGAGAAATGATGCTAAAAGTGGTCAAAGCTTAATGTTGTCAATTCAACTTCGACAAATACATATAATAATAAAATAAACAAACGAAATCAAGTCACCTCGAAATGGAAGGTACTTCTAGAAGAATGAAAGAAAGAAACGGCGTGGCATTCGGATGCTATTGCGTGAATTTAATTATAATCGGTAACAATTTATTGCAAAATTGGAATATCTCAACATTGTTTATATTGTTTAAATGATTTCGTGCAAAATTTTAAAAACCTATAGCTAAAGGTAATTTTTTAAAACCTTATAAATACGGGGAGAAATTGCCTAGTAAAAAGGCTCCGTTAGGCCGAATTACTGGGTCCAGCGGATGCGTCGTTATTGTCTTCATTGTCCTCATCTTCTTTGGTTAGATCGGAGAAAAAGTCCGACGCATTGGTGCACTTGGAAGAGGGTAAATTGTGACGCTTCTCTTTATAGGCATTGTGCTTATCATTATACTTGATGTCGCCAAAGTCCTCAAAATATTTGACGTTCCAAAAGCGTACATCGTTGTTGTGCGAAGAGGAGGCCAGCAGCTCCCCATTGGTGTTGATGTCCAATGACTCAATTGGCATATTGTGCTGACCGACAACTCCAAGGTTTCGGTAGGGTGTGATATGGCAAGCTCTTATATTGCCATCCTCTCCTGCCACACAAGCGATGCGATCGGTTATGGGTATCATGAGGCTTATGGGACTCTTGATACCAGGGTACATGTCGCAATGGTAGCCGAAAGAACCCCAATTGTATGTATATAGTTTGCCCTTGGAGGTGCCCACTACAAGCTTAGAGTTTGCCCGATAGATGCCCATGCAGTTGAGCTCCTCCTCGTACGGCTCTGACTGCACATACAGCTTTCTGGCAGCAATGTTAAATGTGGTTAGATAGCCGTCGGCGCTGGTTGCCAGCAACAGTTTCTTCTGTTCGTTGGTTATCATTTGCGTGATTTGATCCTCTAGTTCCTTCAGCTCAAATATCGGGTGCTTTGTGCGCAGATCCCAGAGCTTCACTGTTCCTGCATCATCGCCAGAGGCGAAGAGGTTCTCGTCCAAAACATACAGCTTGTTTATGGCATCGTCGTGGGCCGTCTCATACAGCTTTTTAAGCTTCTCCGTCTCCACGTCTGTGACCATCACACTCTTATCCTTAGAGGCAGTCAGCAAGTAGCGGCCATCTTCAGTGAACTCTACATCCCGACAGGCCTTGGAATGAACCTCAATAGTGCGCAGCAGCTTGTTGCCTTCGGTGCCGTACTCGTACAAGTGGACATCTCCTATTATGGTAGCCAGCGCAATGATGTCTCGGCCGGGGTGAAAGCAAACATCCGTGATGAAGTCCTCGAGCTTAATTTCTGGTGGGGCACTACGAGGCTTCTTTATAGCAGCTATGATGGCACGCACTGTTTCGTCTGTCTCATCATCAGCATCCAGATCAAAAGTGGCCGATTCGCCTGAGCTTCCGCATGGGCCATCGTCAGCCTTGCGCCGCTTGGCGCTTGTGGCGCCCCCGCTACTGGCTCCATCCGCCTCGTCTTCCTCCAGCATGGAATCATCCGAGTCGGAGTCTTCCGCATTGGGATCAAAGCTGCTATCGCTGCTAATGCTCTCGTTTTCATCTGCTTCGTGTCCTGGTCCTGGCACCCCCAAATCCCCCAGATCGTCTTCATCGATTTCGCTATCTGACTCGTTCAGTGCCTCCTGTTCGATCTCCTCTATGACACCAATCACCATATCGTCATCTAAATCATCAAGCTCATCAGCATCTGAGGGCGTCTTGAAGTTGTTATGCCTTCAATGAAGAAATGTGAATGAGAACGATGAATCTGTGCACACGTTCGAATAAATACTTACGTGTGCATACTATATAGTCGCTTAAATTCCCGAATTAATATTTACCACGCCACGCTTTGTTTAATAGATACCAAGAAGGAGCAAGAAGAAGCATGGAACACAACACATGTACATAGCCTTCTCAGCTGTTTGCTCATCTGGCCGTTTTCCTTGACTAGACTAGACCGTTTCTCCATTCATCAGTAGCCGTAGCTCATGTTGTCCCAACGAATTATACATGTGTATTTTATTGAAATTAACAAGAATTGGATTAACTTTAGTTTTATTGCTTCACATAAAATAGAGATTGGTTAATGCAGTAACAATTTCAACTTATCTGGCATCTCCGATCAGCTGACCGAATCGCACGACGGTAACACTTGATTTTTGCAGCATTATTGCGCGCGTTTTTAGTGTTTAAGAAGGGTTTATATGTTTAATGTTCAAAGTTTAAGGTTTTTATTTTAATTGTAAGTTCATTAACCGCAGTGTAGGAACATCATCATGTCGAGAAAACCCTCGGCGCTGAAAAAGCAGCTTAAACTTAGCAGCTTCATCGGCTCGGGCAGTAGTCAGACTAAAATACAAACTAAAAAGGGTAAGGGAGCAATGCTTCGCTTCTGTGGGATATATTGAAGTCATGTTTATCTTTTTAGCGCCTGTTGCCAACACCCAAATAAGTAAAGTTTACAACCCCATATTTCTGGACTCCTCTTCTTCTGACGAGGATGACACCCAGAGTTCCAACACAAAAACCGAATCACAGGATGATTCCAATGCTACCCAAACATTGGAAGGCCAGCCTACGTCTCTCCCGGAGGCGCCTGTTGCGTCGCAGCCTGTAAATAAATCCGGGCTGAGTAAATGGGGAAGGGCAGATACAAAAGTGTCTAAGGATGCCTTAAAAGACAATCAGCTTACTTTCAAAGAGGATGTCTTACCCGACTCGGAATGGGTGAGAGATTTTCCCTCCCCACCATTCGAGGCTTCGAACAATTGGCGCAGAACAGAGACAAAAGTAACTAAAGATCAGGCTACTTTGAAGGATGCCCTGTCCTTCTCTAAGAAAATGCATTCAGAATGGGAGGGAGATGTGCCCTCCACCCCATCATTCGAGGATTCTAGCAATTGGCTCAGAACAGAGACAAAAGTAACTAAGGATCAGGCCACTTTGAAGGATGCCCTGTTCACCTCTAAGAAAATGCATTCAGAACGGGGGGGAGATGTGCCCTCCCTTCCATTAATGCAAGCGTCAAAGTCTAAATTGAGCATGGTCTTTGATAACTCCCTGCCTGACTACCTGCGCGAACTGGCCCAGAATGACAATTTCACAATAGATCCCTGCCACCAGAGTGTGGAGGCCCTGAAGGCCACGCTTAACTTCTTTCGCACCACGCACATTGACCTGATGGACAAATACTGTACACTGATTGATCAGATTCCGGCCAATCACTTTGAGGAAATATGCGGTTTCCAGCCAAACACATTCATTAAACTAAAGGTCATGCGGCAGAAATTCAAGGCACGATCGCAGCTGTTGCAAAAAACCCTAGAGCGACAGCAGTGCAATCGCAGGAACGAGCAAGAGGAACAGGATGCCATGGAGCGGGAGGAGCAGGAAATCGAGGCTGAGCAAAATCGCGAAAAAACAGCCAGCCATGCAAATTTGACCCCACCGCAACACCACAACAGCCTGCGCATGGCGCCTCTTAATAAAGTCATGCATAACGGTGAGGAATGCAAGAGCAATCCAGATGAGCAGGGGTTGCTGCGGAAGCGGGAAGAGCTCATACACGATTTGTGTGAGGACCCAGAGGATGACTACTTGGCTCAGAGTATCCTCCTTGACAGAGACCTAACTGATGAGAACATGAACGGGTATGCGCAGGAGATGGATTGCGAGATGAATGATGAGGATGATGATTTGGATGGACTTTTGGCCGACATTGAGAACGAGCATCAGCAAATGCAGGGGCGCAAGTCAGAGTATAACGGCTATGGTTATAAAGACTTTGAAGCAGTTCAAATTAACTTGAAAGATGAAGGCTCTAAAGACAAGAATAAAGGCTACAATGCCATTGAGGCCGTAAAACCTAGGCCTAAAGAAACTGCAACCAAAGCGCTTTCTTTGGATGATGATGGCTTTCCTGAGTATGATGAAACACTTTTCGAGCAAATGCATTCTCAGGCTGCCATCTCATCTGCCAGCATTACGGATCTAACTAGCCCCAGAAAAATGACTGACTTAACCGGTCCCAGCTGTAGTCGAAATCCACCCAGCCGCCTTCAACCGGTATCGGCCGATGTTAACAAGGTAACAGGAAATTTTCATGCAAATGTGCACAACGACGGCATCACCGGCGAGTTTGACGGAATACATTTTGAGCACTCGACTCGCTTAATGCACGGTTTAAGCTACAGCTTTGGTCTGAAGAGCTTTCGTCCTAATCAACTGCAAGTCATCAATGCCACTTTGTTGCGCAATGACTGCTTTGTGCTTATGCCAACGGGAGGAGGAAAATCTTTGTGCTACCAGCTTCCTGCCATCCTTACTGAAGGGGTGACCATTGTTATCAGTCCCTTGAAGTCGCTTATCTTTGACCAAACCAATAAACTGGCTTCTCTGGATGTAAGTATTTTAACTGCTATAATTGTGGCATTTATTTAATCATGATTACGTTTCAAACAGATCTGTGCTAAGAGTTTATCCGGCGATCTGGGAATGGCCGATGCTATGGCCATTTACAGGGACTTGGAATCACATCCTCCCATTGTCAAACTACTTTATGTCACTCCTGAGAAGATAAGCAGCTCTTCTCGCTTTCAGGACATATTAGACACTCTAAACGCCAATAATTACCTCAGTCGTTTCGTCATAGATGAGGCTCACTGTGTATCCCAGTGGGGCCATGACTTTCGTCCAGACTACAAGAAATTGGGAATTCTTAAGAAGCGTTTCCCCAACGTTCCCACAATTGCCTTAACGGCAACGGCCACGCCTCGCGTGCGATTGGATATCTTGTCGCAGCTCAATTTGAAGGACTGCAAATGGTTCCTTTCCAGCTTCAATCGAAGTAACCTGCGTTATAAGGTGCTTCCGAAGAAAGGTGCGTCCACTGTTGATGATATGAGCGCATATATAAGGACAAAGCCACCACACTCAAGTGGGATTATCTACTGCCTGTCGCGCAAGGAGTGCGAGGAAGTGGCTAAGAAAATGTGCAAGTACGCTGTACGCGCGGTGGCCTATCATGCCGGTCTCACGGATACGGAGAGGGAGAGTCGTCAGAAGGACTGGTTGACTGGAAAGATCAGAGTGATCTGTGCTACTATTGCATTTGGCATGGGTATCGACAAGCCTGATGTTCGATTTGTCTTGCACTACTCGCTACCCAAATCCATTGAAGGCTACTATCAGGAGGCTGGACGGGCAGGGCGAGATGGAGAGGTGGCAGATTGCATCCTATACTATAATTATTCGGATATGCTTAGACTGAAAAAGATGATGGATGGTAAGTAGCTCAATAAATAAATACAGAAGTGATGTAATTCATTTGCATATTCCAGGCGACAGAGCTCTTCAATATAATGTTAAAAAGATGCACATCGATAATTTGTATCGCATTGTGGGCTACTGTGAGAACATTACGGATTGCCGGCGTGCCCAGCAACTGGAATACTTTGGTGAGCACTTCACCAGCGAGCAGTGCATGGAGAATAGGGCCACGGCTTGCGATAACTGTGTGAATAAGCGAGCTTATCAGCCCATTGATGCGCTGGAGCCGGCCAGAAAGGCGGCTCGAGCTGTCAAGGATCTATGCAGTGGAAGGTCGCGCTTCACGCTCCTTCATATATCCGACGTCTTGAAGGGTAGCAAGATTAAAAAGATTGTGGAATTCGGGCACAACAATACCCCACATCATGGATCTTTAAAAGACTGGGATAAGAACGACATACACAGATTGCTGCGCAAAATGGTTATTGATGGCTTCCTACGGGAAGATCTGATTGTTATGAATGACTTTCCTCAGGCATATCTTTACCTGGGCCACAGCATAAGCAAACTAATGGACGGTACTCCCGACTTCCAATTTTCCATAACGCGAAAGGATGCAAAAGCTGCTGTGGCCACTGTATCTGAGCCGGGAGCTGGCAGCATCAATGATGGGAAGACGAAGATGCGCGAAATACACAATCGCTGCTATACTGATCTTCTAGACTTGTGCCGCACTATAGCTAGCCAGCGAAACGTGACTATGGCTAGCATAATGAATATACAGGCTCTGAAAAGTATGGCGGAGATTCTGCCACTCACTGAGAAGGACATGTGCAGCATTCCTCATGTGACGAGGGCGAACTATGATAAGTACGGCGAAAAACTTCTTGAGATTACGTGTAACTATGCCTCGGAGAAGCTCCTGATGCAAGCAATTTTAGACGAGGAGGAGGAGCAGGCGGCTGCAGCAGCATCAGCCGCAGCACAGAAGCCGCGGGCCGGGAGCTCTGGTTGGAAAAACGACACTTCTGTGGATTGGAACAAGGAGGTTGCATCGCAAGGGACCAATGGAAGTAGTTATGGTTCCTCCTTCCGCGGCGGAAAACGTAAGAGAACCTTTAAATCGGCATCGAGCAAGAGATTTAAAAGTACTTCAGCCTCTCCAGCACCAAAGAGAACCACTGCAGGTCGAGGAGGTCGTGGCGGAAGAACGACAGCTAAGCGCGCAGAGAGCACTGCCGCATACGCCTCCGGCTGGAAAAGTAAAAAAACAGGAAACAGCTTTGGTTTTGACCTGATGCCTTGTCCAGGATCAAAATAACGTAATTTTTACATTTTGTGGAAACGAAAACGAAAACGATGAAGATCAACATTCATTTGTCTCATTTAAACTTTCATGTTCAACAGTAACACATTGCCCTAGAGAGTAAGACTTAGATAAGTAGGCGCTGGAGCCGCTTGCATCTTTGGCTGAAACAGCATAAAAAGAAACTCGCATTTCCAATTGTATAACGTCGGTGAATTTCACTTAATTAAGTACTCAAACAATAGCACCGATCACCGATCCCTTACTTGGCGGCTTGACGTAATTTGTCTTCAAAATCGTATGCCCCCATGGACCATATTAAGTTGGCGTCCGTTTCCACTTGAACAAACTCTGTGGAGTAGGTGTTCGATGTACTGACCATGCCGCCAAATTCCATCTGTGTGTGATCTTCAAGATAAAAGAATCGCATTAAACATAACTTTACGGATCTAAGGAATTTGTGTACAAACATAGATTCCACTTCAGACCCGTCGTCGTAACATTGTGCGCCATTGATCCAACGGGCATGAGAGAACACCATCGCTGAGTTTTCACCAGATCTAGAGGAACCTGTATTGTGTGCTTGCCAGGTCGCAGAAGCCACGTGATGGAGTCACCGCTCAACAGAAACACATTGCAATTGTCCTTTTGAGTTTTATACAAGGTGTTCAGATTGGCCATAACCTGATCGAGGCGCCCGGAGGTGTCGTGGAATACGACAACATCATGGATTTTGCGCTGTGCCATTACTGGTTGAAGCACTGATATGGCCTTGGTGAAATCCGTTGCGTCTTGATCGGGAGTGTGTATTTTAGGTGTTGTTTTAAAGAAATCGACTGTTTCCTCCGTTATTGAATCAAAGTCGCCTGTTATCACATCGAGTGGTTCGAGCGGAGCTGTTGCCGGCGCACCCTTGGGCCTTTTGGCTACTGCTTGACCTAGCAAGAACTCACGCCAGTGATTAGAGCCTCCATCAACGGCGCAACGCACAGCCGCTGCACAAATAGTTTTGGTTAATTAACAATTATCATCTAGGGGCTTGCTTGTATGCTCGCAGGGTAGACTTCTTTAGTTACTTACCATTCGTCCATAACGATTTCACCACATGAGCCGGAATCTGAATCTGTCGATTGAGCACAACACATACGTGCCCGTTGTCGCCCAGCTTGAAGTTTTCGTTGATCATATTGCCAGGCGTCCATTTGAACTCTTTGGGGGGCACTGTGTGGTCCATTTGTTGTCGAAATCCAATGGTTGTTTTGGTGCAGAAGATTCGACTATCGCCATCCGCTATCGCAATTCGCTGGGCAGCGCTGCACATCAAATTTAAAACTGTACTGCGCCTATCGCCATCCGTTATCGCCATTCGCTGGGCAGCGCTGCGTATCATGTTTAAAACTGTATGGCGGTTTTTCATGCTGCTGCCATATTACGACAGCGTCGTAATATATAAATAAATACAAAAATACAATAAAACTGAAAAAATATGCTCGGCCGCCCTTTAACATGCTGTTTTCTGTTTTGAAACCATTTTTTATTTCAGGTCGATAGGCTTTAGGAATTCGATTCTTCCTAGGGATGGACGAAGTCTTTTCGATGTGGTGGTAAGTTTGAATTTAGCATAATCAGTCAGAGTACTATGCTTTAGGTGATAGATACTCTTTCAGAGTACACATACTCATACATTTAATAGCTACTTCATGTCTACTTTCCAACTAATCTGTCGTACAACTTTTGTTGCAAAAAGGTACTGCAGGACGGGAGCCATGCGCCTTCCGCTTTTAATGAATGAGGGGAACAGGACAGTCGTCTGGAAACCAGACAAAATGGGGCGCGGGGCTGCAATACTTTTCTTCTTGTTGAACCTTCGATGTCAGCTGTATCAATATTGTTGCAGTTCATTTTGCTTGCTCTATACAAGTACGGCAGTTATACAGTAGCCATCAGCAATGGGCTTATACCCCCATCCATTGCGCCATCCGAACTCAGCTTTTGGTCAGAATGGGCTGTGATTGCTATTCAACGACCGTCCATTGATGTGGACTTGTGCTGGCTGCATATGCACACGAAAATGATTCAGATTTAAATTCACAATCCTTCATTTTGAAGGTAATTTGTTGAGATGCAGGGAGCATGAAATCGGAGAAGCTCGAAAGAAATTCGCACAAGTAGTTGAAGTCGTGTGAATATCGTTGGGAGCAACGCAGTCATAAATACATCTATAAAATTCCACTTTTACAAATACCCGAGTGTTTCCGCGTGAACATTGGGGTACGCACATGTGCTTGGCATATTTGTTCGCCATTTATACAACTTTGAAATAAATTACATGAGTCGCCTGTTGGCTCTATGGCGGGTTTGACATTCCACCGGGCGCTCCCAAGGTTTCACGCAATTTATTTATGAAGGCAATACTTACCCACATACGTACACTCTGTCCGGACTGCAAGATATTAACTATAGTGCACACCAATTCCAAAACTAATTGCAATGTACTCATGTACATATTTGTATGTTTCCTGTCTGCGCACGCTGATCGGATATGTGTGTCACACGCAGACACACATTAGCAAATGGGATCAAGGAGTATGAAGTACTTCATTCAAAACGTATTTTAAAGCCGTTTGCTTTTCGTCCATTACCCACCACTGGGTAATGGTGGGTCGGCATTGCAGTTCAATGCACCGCGAAGACGTGATTAGAAGTTATTAAGTCACAATACTCGTAGGCAGAGGCGGGAAGGGTGGACACTTGCCAGGTTACTTGACGTTTCCAAGCGGTGTACGAGCAGTAGATTCACTTGCCACATCCACCATAGCCCAGACCTACCAGCCGGAAGGGGGTGCCAAGGATGCGGCAGGAAATTCATTAATGTCTCCAACGTCTGTCGCATGCACTCAACTTCACCAGCGTGGCGTCAACATGTTTAGCCTAAGCTTGAAATGCATTGCCCGATGATGGTAAAAAAGAGGACGAGGATGCTGAGAAACAGAAAACAGAAGACACAGGGGCATAGAAAGAAGGTGCGCTGGGGGCCGGAATTTGATTGCTAATGGTGGTTAAGGCAGTGTGGTGGTATTCTAGGAGGATATTTACGGACGAAAAGCAGAAAGCGAGCCACATGTCCTTTCTACATGTCTGCAGCCAAAAGGAAATTATGAATTTAGGTGTGGTTGCTTCGTTTCTTTTTGTCCAGCTTGACCATTGCAGCAGCTCAGCAACAGCAGCTGTCTGTTTAAGTTTTATTCTTCTCGAATCTGGATTGATTTTCAGACTTCAAATCCCTTGAATCTCTACTTAAACAAAGAGAAAACACGGCAAAATTACTTTTTACTATTCCATACACATATATGTATGTATGTGTGTATGTATTTACGTTATATTTGATCTTTCTCGGTTTTACATTTGACCCTTTCGTATGTATGTTGATCCTTCTCCCAATGCACTCTGTGAGTTGGACACTTTCAGCGATTACTTTTATTGTATTCCGTCAAATTAACTTAATTGGTACAACACCGCTGCGTGGTTGTAGTGTTTCGAGTGGTAATGCCAGTGTTCAGTATATGTACTTGTCCGGTCTGTGTGTCTTTTGGGGGCCACGGCGACTGCTAGATGGGAATGCGCCATGCCCTGCTAGCAGGCATAAATCACATTTTGTGTGATCCACACACATATGCATATTTATGGATACCTTTGTGGTTGCACATACATATAAATACATAAATATTTAAATGAAATGCTAGGTCATAAATCTATGCAGTTTTGATTAGCTTAGCCCACAATTGTAATCGAGATTCGGTTTGGATTTCCCATTTCCCGCCCATATATTCTGTATACTACACATGTATGTATAAGTATGCATAGGTGTGTGTATATTGCATATATGAAATGCATATGTAATTCCAATTTGAGTTCTTGTTTTTATTATTGTTCTGCATTCGGCGGCACTGGATATTTACACGCTTCAATTGCCGCCGTAGTCCTCGATGAATGTGTCGATGATGTAGCGCTTCACCTCGTTGATGGACGTGCGCTTGTTGCTGCATTGAAGCCTCTCCTGGTGCTCGGGCATGACCAGAAGCTGCTGCAGCTCTCCCTGCGGAAGGAAAAGCGAAAGCAATGTCCATATAGTTGTCAGCAAACAATATCCATTATCAGCGAATTATTATTTAATGCGTATGCGCTATCAGAGAACACACGCCACAGACCGAACAGTCAACGCTGTATTTATGGTTATCGGATGAAATGGCTTCCACCATTTGTGGTGGATGCCCCGTGAATGCAGCTGTGCTCTTAAGAAGCAACGCACAGTGTCACGATCACCGATTATACTCACATTAAAGCCGCGTCCAATCTCCACGTCCGCGTCTATCGGCAGTGTGTACAGTCGTTTCGAGACAACAAAACTATTTGTCCACGCGCAGTCAACGTAGATCGATATAAAGTCGCCATTTTGGATGCTGCATTAAGAGAGTAAGAGAAAAACAATAACAATAGTAACATGAGACCAGGAGAAAATAATTAAAATATTCAATGAATGCATACACACATATAATGTATGTTTGTGTCCATACAATATGTGAATACTGTCAGTATGTGGAGTGTACTGTAGGCGTGTGTATGCACAGTGTGAGTGTGCGAAATGTGCCGACGGCCGATGACAAATGGCGCACACTTGAACCAAGTGTCAATTTGGCCGTGTGTCGTCGCAAAACCAAAACCAAAATCCAACAAAAAAAAAAAAGAAATAGAAAAAGGCGTTTGATATTCATGTGCAAAATGTGTGTGTGTGTGGTTGTGTGCGTGCGGGTGTACTCTTATTTGCATGTGTGTCAAGTGTTGGGCTGTGTGTATGTGTGTGCGTTTCATGGCACAAACATTTATGCTAATAAATTGAAAATGCAAATAAAAAGGAAAGTGTGAACGACGATGGCCATCAGTTGGAGAGTTGGAAGTAAGTGCCATACAGCGCACACACACATAAACCATGTCGAACACAGACACAGTGATTGGCAATCAACAATAAGAACGACTATTGAGAAGCGTACAGCAAGCATCCATTGCACTCATTCCAGTCCCCGTCACACTCACCTGATGGCCACTTGATGCCACCGATAATCATATAAATTGAATTTCACCGGCAACATTTCCGTTGTGTTGTCGCGTTCCAGATACAGGCGAAGTCCGTCCTTGCACGCCTCCAGATACAGATTATGCGTGTCATTGCGTATGGAGAAGATGGTCGCCGTACTTTTGGTGTCGTTCTGCAAGAGACAGAGACGAACGGATAGATACCAATTAGGATAGGAGGTCCTATCCGCCTGTAGTGTATTCGTATTCACCTTTGCCCTCAGCGTGATCATCAGCGTAAAGTTAAGTATGTTCCGCCAGCTTCGAATGTAGCCCATGTTGTAGGGCGTAGAGGGGGTGGGCGACGATGGGGTAACTGCCATGACAGCGGTAGTCAGATCCTGCATCTGCATTTCCGGAAACGCCGAGGCCATGGCTGCTGCGGACTCTGAGGCTTGCGTGGGCAGCTCCTCCATGAGTGGCAACTTCTTATAGAACTTGAGCAGATCGCTAATGTCATCTGTGTGTCGATTGTGAGTGTCGATTGTGAGCAGGGGTTGTATCTAAGTCTAAGGGCTTTAGGGGGTGTCTCTCTACTTACCACTGCATTCGAAACTGTTGCAGTTGCGCTGCTCAATGTTGTAGCCCTCGCAGAGGAGTGTGGACAGAGCCACACTCTTCGCCGGCTTGTGCTTCTTGTGCTGATTGCTGGCACGTGTCTTCCTGCGACCAGCTGGAGCTCGAGCTCGGGCATAGGATGGGGCATGGACACGGGCACTGGCTCCCCTACCATCATCCCGTTGCACATATCGGACACTTTTGCCTCCCGCTGCCTCATTACTGCTGTTTGTTCCCATGATGGAGGCAGGTGCCTGGGGCTGAGCTTCTGCCATCTCTATGAATTTATGCAGCGGCTCAGCGCTGCTCGCTCGTTGGAGGAGCAAATCCTCGTCATCGGCCAGTACTTCATTATTATCACCATCGTTGAATGTGTCCGTGTCTGCTGCCAGATTGTCCAGAGTGTCATCGTCATTCGCCTCCTTAGAACTGGCAATCTCACTTGCGATATCGTCCATCTGACCTTCCATTTTCATGTCCACATCATCGTCTTCCTCCTCCTCCTCCTCCTCCTGCTCCTGGTTTACCAGGTTCATGTTCATATTCATATTCATGTCCACCAGCGGATTGTCCAGCAGGCATCGGCGGAATCGCTGCTGAACCCCCTTGCCGCAGGTGACGCTGCACAG